GCACCCATGGAAGACTTCTGGGACTTGGGTGTCTCTAGCATCTGCCACCAGATTAACAGAAGTTCAAATATATATAGTCTCTAAATTCTACATAGTTTCCACTTTTGCTACATACAGAATTAGCTGCATAACCTCAGAAAGAAGGAGAAAATGCAAGCTCATGCTGCTTTTTTTTTTAAACCCTGTTTTACAGGCTGTCCAAACAGATGTTTTCAACCCATTGGCTTCAGGAGAGATTAAGGTTTTGAGAATCACTTACCATAGCAGGCTGAGAGATGTTATTATTTCCTCAGTATTGTAGGCTGAACCTAGAATACTGTGACCAGCTTTGGGCTGCAGTGAAACAGGACAGGATCCAGCAAAAAGTAAGATGGTCAGAGGCACATGACTTGTGAGGAGAGGCTAAGGAAAGTGGGTTGGTTTGGTCTCATGAAGATGAGGCTAAGACCAGTCTGTGACTACTTGAGGAACAGTTACAAAGGTGATGCAGACAAACTTTTTGGTAGAGCCCGATGATGCACTAAGAGTCAGCAGTCACAGAGAGCAGACTGGGGGGTTCGGGATGGATATTAGGAAAATATTGTTCTCTAGCACTGCACTGTAGTGCTGGAACAGGTCACCTGGAGAGGCTGTGCAAGCTCTCTCTTTAGAGACTTTCTAGACCGAGATCAACAAAGTCACGGCTGAGCCAATCCTGTGCTAACAAGGGTCTGGCCTGAGCAGAAAGCTGGACTAGACATGTCCCAGAGGTCCCCTCCAAGCAGCACTTCTTTGATTCTATTTGGCTGAAACTTACCTCTTTCTGTACACCGGATTTAAGAGATGATAATTTGAGATATTTCACTTTCAGGTGAATATACTGAAGTATAACAAACCATGATCAGACAAGAGAGCAAGCTGATAACATGCTTTTCATAAATGCTACACAGCTGCCTGCCTGAATCATAAATTGGGTGCTTTAATGGTTCACTCACACCCGCTATTGCCATACATCCAACTTAACGTCAGTTAGGATTACTTCCCTGTTGAATAGACTTCCCTTTAATTAGATAGTCCAGAGATAATGTTTTAACAGCTCATTATTTTATTACTTTGTTGGGGAGGCAGGCATAAAACAAGAAACTTGGGATGAGGCAGCTCTATATAGTCCTTTCACACTCCAGAGTGGAACGGGTCTCTGTACTTGCCATCTACTGCTCCTTAGATAATGCAGCAGCAGGGGGGAGGATAAGGAATAATAAAAAAAAAGTTTGCAGACTGTGATTTAGAGGTAGAGATGCCTAATCCAAAGATTCTACTTAATTTCAGAATTTTATTTCTTGTCAACCAGCACGGCCACTGTATCAACATAAACATTTCTATTAGATACAGGCCTATCCTTTTGCTTCAACATTAGCACCATCACAGTTATACCAGTATTTTGCTCAGCTAGCGAAAAGTTAAACCCATGTAAGAACGTTTATAGAAGCTTAATATTATCCATACTTGAACGATATCACTGTAAATAAATCAGCACCAGTTTTGGGTTTAGACAGTATTACTACTGTGTAGCCCAGGGAAGGAAAAGGGCTCATCTTCAGTACACCATCTATATCAAGTTACTTCACTCAGATTAACCTTGAGAGTACATGCTAAGAAACAACATTTCAGCTACACAGAGTGATTCGATTATGAACACAGAATTATTAGATTAGCAGCAGATGACTTGGAAGTCAAGCTGCTGCATCCCCATTGAATTTCTAGCTCCAGGAGCAGCAGCACTCCCCCTTCCACCCAACCCTCCCCACAGGCCAGGCAGTTCAGGCTTTAAGCATCTCTTTAAGCTTCTTTAGACACTTAGGTAAACAAAAGGCAAAATTTAAATCTTGCCTCCTATTGTACCAAAACCAATCTGCTATCATACAACATCAGCAGTTTTCCTATCAGGGTGAAAATGACTATTAAAAGCATTTCATAGGTCACAACACATCATAAATGAAACAGCTATAGAAACTGAAATCCAGCTTACCAGGAGCCCACACGGTCCAAGAGACAGCAGCTTTGAATGAGACCATTTTCTCAGATCTAGTTACCAGCAACCAGGGCAGAAAAAAAGAAAAAAAAAACCAAACACACTTTAAACAAGTGGACATAACCATGCAGACGCAAGCATAAGACTGTATTCCAATGCAGCTGAACCAATGCAACCCCAGAAGCAAGCTGTCTTCAACCAGGGCATGGGAAGTTAAGTGACAAAATTGCTACTCTTCAGCTCAGCCATATTAATCACCAACCTTAGCCTGTTGCTAACCCAGGACACAGGGTTCAGCTGATAAGTAGCAACTCATTAAACGAAAGGAACTTGCAGCCATCTGCCCAGCCCCTTGGTTTAATATTTTTAATCAATTTTGCTTGAGTTCTGTGAATTTAGCTAACATACTGAAAACACTTTTAAATTATTGTGAAAGACACTTCTTAAGAAAGCTGTATAGACAGTCCCTAAATTGATGCAGGCTCAGGAATAAAAACAGGGCAAAGATACCTGCTCATTCAAAAGGATTATAGTATGAAGCCTGTTGTTTCTCTAAAGAGGTTTTGGCTGTGTTCAAATTATTGATAATAGTGTTCAAGGAAATTTTGCAACAAACTTGCTTGGTTTTTGGATTTTTTTTCCCCAACTAAAACAAGGTACAAAGAAGTCCATCTTTATCAGCATCACTCAGAGCATAACCTCTACTTCTCCAGAATACTATTTGGCTGAGTTAACCCATAGTATGCTCATTCTGCTGAGCCTACCAACACCCATCTGATCCTAATTAACTACCAGCTGGGACCACTTTCCTGCACTGACTAGGAACCTTTATGGGAGTTACCAGCCCTCCTCCTCTCTCTTCCATCCACCAAGAAAAAAAAACAACTCTGTATTGCAAAAATATTTTAACTCAATAGGGCCTTCTTAGAGACATTATTATCACAAGATTAAACAAAACTGATGGTTTCTACCCAAAGAACACAAGGCTATGACTTTCTGGAATTTATCTAGGGCATTTATCATTCATTTTGAAATTCAGTGTCTTGTATCTCATGTTATTTACCCAAGAAAAAGCCAGAGCATGAGATATGTGGGAATCACCTGTTTTATTCAACCCAACACAGTGTATTTCAGTTTGTACAGAGGTTTCATGGTCTCTCCAGTTTCTCCTGTGGAATCTGCATCGCAATATAGTTGAGAACATGTATTAATCCACAGTTACTTTAAAAAAAAAATCCATGTTTGAGTCAAAATGTGAAGGAAAAAAAAAGGGGGGGGGAGAAATCTGGAATCTTTCTATTGGTGTTTTAAGGCATAACAAACTACAGTAATTTATTTCACCATACCCAGTTGTAATGCTACACCACAGATAAACATTACTAATGTAGCAAGAATGTGTTTCTTCCTTCTGATGGAGGTCCAAGATTGCCCTCTTGAGTATGCCAAACAGCATGGGGTACTTCATTTACCATGTGATTGGCACACACTTTAGTTTTGAATCAGTTTGGAGATGAAATTGTTGGCTAAAGCTCTGGAAATTGTGACTCTAGAGTTGTCAGGCAGGCTGTCTTTACTTTGAAAAAAAATAATTCTTTTTAATAACACTATGTTACTTGGCTTTTTATCTGTTTTTACATTGTTCATTAATGTTTTGCATTTCTATGTATTGTGCAGCACCCCAAGAACTTTAGTAGGGGGAACTTCATAAAAAAAGTTTATTATTTCAGCGTGTGCTAATAAAATTGCTATACGTTTGGGGAAATATTCTAATACAATCTATTTTGATGGCACACAAAAAGTCAGCCATTGCATGCTCATACAAAAAGATAGATGTGTTCACTGAAAGGCAGAAATAATTTCTTAACATAGCTCATTCTCAAGGCATGTCTTACAATGCAGGAAATTATAAGGCTTGAGGTTTATTTTTCCATTTATCTTGTAAACAAAGGAAATTATCCCATAAACTTATGCTTAAATTTTACTAGTCAACATTATTTTGCATGGCAACAAGCTTATTTCTAGTATATTTTAAGACACGCGGTTTGGTTTATTATTTTATTGATATTAATGGAAACAATCCAGAAGAGGAAAACACATTATTTGGAGGTCTGACTCTAACGCCTTTCATATCCTAAAGCCAGTAAGTATTCTGGGAGCAGAGTGCTTGGAGGATTTGTTCTGAATTCCCTTCCTTGGGGACATGTAACTATAAAATCATGAGGTTTTTTCAGATCCAGTCCACCTCAAACTCAAATGTTCATGCAACCTTCCACGTTCAGCTTGAGGTTTTTTTCTCCCTACTGCAATGAATGATGCATACGTATGTACACTCACATTTTGTGAGTGCACGCACAGGCATGCAAACATCCTTTACAACATCCTTTCTTTCTTTACTTACACAACTCCTGTGTTATAACCGAACATTAGTTATTTTGCACAGCAATGTGACGTGCAGCTTCTTTTTTTATCTAGTTTCTCTAATGGCTAGTAACCTGCTTTCATAGCCATGAAACCTTTCAGAAAAGTTTATCTCTTACCTGAACATGCAGTTTTGGCTCCCTATTGTGGTAAACCCTCAAGGATCCAGTTCCATTATACACTTCTGTCAACACAGATCCTGTCAGCTGCTTGAGGCACAGCCACACCACTGATTCTGAAGTTGAAGGAGCTTTTGTATCAAGATGAGGGTCAACCAGTTATCAGATAACACAAGTACAATCACTACCTCTGTTCACCTAATCGAGATATTTCTAAAAATACGTACAATCATGCTTTTCCTTCTTTTCATGCTCCTCTTCACTAAAATTTTTATAGTAATGTATGTCTTCAGAGTAACATATGATTGTTGATTTCAATGAACTCTCAACTGTACTACCACATTCGCTTTACACAAATGTTTATTTCATCATCCATTTGAGTAACAAGTAGTTCAGATCTCAAGAAAAGGCTCTGATGATGGTAAATCAGTGCTATAAAGGTGTTTTTATAATTAAGATGACTTGTTTGGCTGCAGGTTTTTTTCATTCTCAGGAACAGGTTTGTCAGTGCAACATTTTCCTGAGTGGTGTTTTGGATAACGCCTACAAAATGGACTCTCGGTATTTTGACCTTTCACAAAAGATGTCTGATAAATTGTTAAGCCATCCTCACTGCTAGGAACTGATTCATGACCCCATAGGAAGAAGTTCTGTGAGTTCTGTTGCCGTCTCTCTGGTTCCACCTTCCTCCGGCCCATGCCCTAGCAAAAAAATTGAAAGAAAAATTCATTTAAACATATGACTTACAATCACAGTTTCACAGATGAATCTTTTAACAGTCACTACCCCACTGGGAAGTTAACGAAGCTGTTACCACAGTGATTTCAAGAACTCATGGTTCATCTTTAGCAAGTCAAAAATAATATTGTCAGACTTGCCTGCATGAACATTTCTGGTTGCATATATAATGGAAAATCTGTTCACCTTCCACCTCTTAGTACTAATAACCACTTATACTTTGCATTTCTGTAGCATACTATATACTCAAGCCTATTTAGCTATACTCAGCTAAATGAATCTTCAGAGCAACCCAAAGAAATAGATAGGTTAATAATTTTATGTTCAGACTGCAATAAAGAAACTGAGACAGACCATGAAATCTGAATCTTCAATGCTATCCCTTTTATGTCCAAACACAGAGAGACAGAGCCTGATTTTCACACTCCATAGCTTGTAGGAAATTTATTTGGAATTATGGTTGATCAGTATCTCTAAAACTATGAGACACTGCACAAAGTACACAGAAATGGAGGTTACTCGGTAAATAATGAATACCAAAAAATCTAGGTCTAAGAGAGCCCAAAGTCAGACAAACTTTCCATATCCCAATTCACTGCTTCCTCCTCTACCTATCATCTTGTGAACTGCACTATTTGTTTTGCTGCCTAGAAAGACGTCAACAATTGAAGAAAAGTGGAAAAATACGAAAATGTTGCACATACAGAAAAGCCCAAAAGAATTTAAATTCTATTCAAAGTTGTGGTTTCTGCAATATATATTTAAACAGGTATATTATAAAGAGATGTGGAATGGAAAATCATACATTCTGAAGATATATTGTGGGTGTCCTAGGGATTTCGGTTAAACTATGATAAAGATGAGTCTGAACCACATATGTGGGACTGTGAATTATCAGTGGCTGAGACCCCTACAAAAGTTCATCACAAGGCAAATCACTTTTAGCAGACTAATAGGACATATAACTGGGTACAAAACCATGTTAAGACATAACAACCAGGACCACTAGAAGATGCCGGTCAGAGACCCAAATCATGAGTTTGTTGTTCCCCTTGAATTCTGCCACTCTCAATGACCATGTGTGCTGAGGTATACCTGTGCCAGCCCCAGAGGAGTCCCACCACTATACTAATAAAAAGTATGTTTTTCTTTGATGTTTACATTTTTCACTTCTCACAATTTTTAGCATCTATAATATTTACAAGAGAGAGAAAAGATACACTGTTTAATCTCTGGCAGACTGAGAGATATGAACTTGCTTGATTTTTCTCAGTGCTGGGTACTTACAAAATCAAAATACTCTCCTACATTTTGTAGACAGTGTCTGTTGTCATGAGAAGAAAATGGGAAATTGTTGTTCACTGCTCTCTGAAAAAAAGAAATTATAGGAAAAAAATATGAATTTTCACATATCTTGTTTGGAGTCTACTAGTCTTAGTGTTTATATTCTGATAGATGCTGAAATTACAGCTGCCTATGTTCTAACACAGAAGTCATGTTAAATCTTCAACTGCACATAATTTTATAGGGGCAATGTGAACCCTCTGTATATTTTTTTTTTTTTTTACAAAACCATCAGGAGGGTTTGTGTTCCCTTGACTTGCTGAATATATACATGATTAATATAAAAGTGTGAATTTTCAAATAAGAAATTATACATTCTGTCTGCAAGCAGCAAAATACCAGATATGTCAGGATTGCCTTATTTGATTCACTAGTAAGCCTAAAGCTAATTAAAATGAACTACAAAAGGGACCTCAAAACTGAATTAATCTATGATTTATGTACTGAATGTCATGTACACTGCTTGTTGCAGGGGAAGTGGAGGAGGTATTAACTGCATAACTAATTTATAATCTCATTCTTTAACATAATGTTCATCCAGTCTCTAAAATGAAAATAGAGTTTTAGAAGAAAAAAAGGACAACTGCAAAAGAACTATTCTGAAAGTAAATTAACTTTTTTTTTACATTTGTTTATTACATATCATTGCAATATTATTAAAATAGCTAAAAATTGAAACACTGAAAACTCTTCCAGACTTAGATTAGATTGCTTCTGTTCTTCCCCAAGCATTATTTTCCTGCTTCATGTTGGGAACTTTTTGTTTTTTCTGTAAATGCTCTAGCAATTTTTACTTTTAACATTGTGGAATATGTTTTTCATCCTCCAACTATGATATTCACCTCCAAACAGGAGAGCAAGTTTTAATGTAACACAATTTAAAAAACGTGTTTCAAGAGTAAGTGACTCTGAATCAGTTCTAAAGATAAATGTAACTGGAGGCCTGATCCGGCAAGAAGAATCACCAAATACAAAATCTGCCTGCATGGAGTCAGCTGCATAATCGTATCTTAGGGTATTTAGTATACTAGACAGATTCTCTACCTTTTTTAGGTACGTGCCACACGTTCACTTGTTTTCTCATACAGGTTCAACCAGACTGTAGTTCAATGGGTAAGTAAATTCAACGGATACATTCTCATATATGTGTTTAAAAATAAGCACCTTCTAAGTCAGTAAAATGTAAGACTTACTAAAATATCCTACTGCAATTACACGTCAATCTTAACATTTTAAGAATAGTGTTTATTACTAGTGTCTATATGCTGCAGGAAAATTGAAAACCAAGATGGTAAATATTGAGTATCAGCTCTTGGAAAGATTCCCCATGTTAACTAATGGTCAAAAAAATCTATTACAGAACAATTATAGGACTATCATGAAGTAAGAAACAAGAGGTAATATAAGCTTAAACAGTACTATATTACTGAGAAAATTAATTAACCTCCCAGCCAGTGAGTTCCCTCATACAAAGAGATTAGAGACAACCAGCTTCACATGCAGTGAGCTTCAAACACTCTATTCAGCACTTTTTAAGTGTCACATAAACAAACTTCCTCAGATTGTTCTGTGACATCACATTTTAGCTTTTAATGCATCTTCATGCTCTCACCGCTGATCTCATTTTAATTCTTGATTTATGACAGATAGGAATCCCACTAATTCTTTTTAACAGTGAAGGGCTGGTAAATACAAGACATAAAACATCAGGTGAACAGTCATACTAGTGTTGATAAAAGGTCCATCTAACCTGGTTCTCCTTTTCAGGCAGTGGCTAAGGCCAGATGCTCCACAGAAAGGTATACATAATATCAACATAATGTATGCTCATGTTACAGTATAATCTTCCCTTTTTCTTTTCAATAGCCCCAAGCTTCCCTTTTAAATATTCCTTCCTAGCCCATTTCTGCTCTTCATTATAGCAAAATCTGTGAAATGAACTCAATATAATTGCTATGCTTATAGAAAATGAAAATAGAAAATGTTCTGTGCACAAAGTGGGTGGGTAAAGCAAAGCTCAGTGTGATGATAAAATCAGGCCATAAAAATGTGCTTATGAAATTGTAAGATTTTAAATACTCGTGATTTTAAAATAGTGTTTTGTTTGTTTCCAAAATTGTCCCAAATCTCTGAATTTTTAAGCAAGCCTTAAAAATGTTTGAATTGGGAAGCTTCTAAGTTTTTAATGATAAACAAAAAAATCTTTTGCTCGAATATACAGAATTTCTGACATTTAATTCAAAACAGACCATCAAATTTCAATTAAACATTCTTACAGGGCTTTACACGCAGGTTTTGGACTGAGATTCATCAGAATATATTCTGGCACATAAACGTGCCTCAAACAGCCATAGTAGCTAATAAACGGGAAAAGTAACTGATGCTGGAAATCAGCAATAACTACAGCAGGACTTTTGAGTATCCAAAATTATAACTGAGTAGCAGCAAAATATGTTTCTTCCTTAGCACAGCTAGCAATCATTTTACTCCCTGAGGCACAAAGTCTGCCAGTCCATAGTGACTGCTTTGCTAACTACCGTAAGTGCTATTCTTACTCATAACTTAGCAAGTGACATCTTGCAAAACAGAGCTCTGTAGATTGAGTGTATTGCCACAGTAACTCACCTGCTCCCGAGTTCTGTATGCTAGCGGCAATCTATCCTCAACGTACTGAGCTGCTCCTGAGTTCTGGACCTGTTTTAGTGCAGAGGTTGTAGTTGACTCAGGTTGATCCTGGCATACTCCAACGTGAGCAAACTAGAAAATAACGAAAATTGCGACCCATTTAAAAAAAAAAAAGCTAACAACAAAACCCCAAATAAATAGGATCAGAAATGTTGGCAAAATCGCCTTTTCCCATTTATTTTTTATTATTTGGATTGCAGCGGCACCTAGCGGCCTCTGGAAAAATCAGGAGCTTCCCCCACATAACACAACCCCTACCATAAAGACCTCATGACATACATCAGTAAAACTGACAAGAATATTATTTCTCCAGAAACTTTCCAAAAATTCTTTATATAGTGATAATCCATCTACCAAACCCACTTATGCTATAACGTCTTTTTTTTAAGCCCATGCCACTCCTGCTGTTGTACGACCGTAGGTTTGAAAGCACAAAACTTTTGGGGAACAGCTCAGCCAAACGTTAGGCCCAGGGGTTGAGAGACTGAAGAAGAGCCTGTGCCAGGCATGTGTCACAGTGCCCTGGGATGCCCAGATGTCCCAGCCCAGGGCCTCCGACGGGGGCCAGGGCACTTCTCCTGAGGGCGAGAACTGAGGCAAACGTCAGCTGGCATTTTCCAGAAGATAGTTAGCTAGGGCTAAATATAAAAGAAGAGACCTCCAGCACTGTTGGAAAACTGAGGGGAGGAAAAAAAAAAAAATCCTGCCAGAGTTTGCTTTAGCATACTTCCTCTGAATACCTAGGGCACCTTTTCCTCATAAACATCAGGAACGGGAAACCTCGTTTCTGGCTACAGGACAAAGCCACCCTCAACTTTTTCGAGAGTTTAAGGATAAAAAAAAGCCCCGCGGGGAACACGGGGGCTCCCCCCCTGCCCTCACCCAGGCGCCGGTGCGCTGCTCGCTGGGGTGGGAGCACCGGCCCCTGGACATGGCTCCGCGCCGCCGCCGCGCCCGGCCGCTCTGCCCGGGACCCCCCCGGGCACCCCGGTTGCCACGGGGGCCGCTTGTCCAGCTCACAGAGGAACGGGAACCCCCCCCGCCGTGACTTCAGACCCTCCCTGACTGCGTCACTAAGTGATCTGGTGTTTCAGTAAGAGCCGGAGGAGCGAAGGCAACGGTGCTCTTGGCCTTCGACTGCGTTTGGGGGGGGGGGTGAAAGTTGGTAAAAGTATTGAATGCTGTCTTCAAACGGGAGGGGAATAGAGTCCGGTTCAAAAATTAACTAGTTCTGCACCACTACTTCAATAACACTTTACAATCTGAATGGTAATATCTGAAGAAAGGAGGATCATTTTTGAGGAAAAAAACAAGGACATTAGGTATATTATTTTTAAGATATAACTTCATGATCTTTTTAAAATCGCTTTACACATACACACATCTTAATTGCATACACGATATTTGTTAAAAAAAAACAAACCCTGACAGCACCTTAAGGATATTTTGCCTCCGAGTTTGAGCACTGACTTGTAAACATCCATAACATTTAACTGTTGGCACACTCTGGTAGCAAGCATTGCCCTGGCAGGCGTTTGGGGAGGTGCATCGGGGACTGTGTCCCTCAAGAAATTTGGGGGTGGCTGCCCTGCAGGGTGGCAGACAGCACTGGATCATGGATGCCATCTGCACCACGTCACTTGCCTGCTGGCCAAAAAAGTCCCTAGTCTGTTCATTCGTATTACAGACATAGTCTCCAAGATGAATGTAGCAGACTTTTTTTTAAGTATAACGTTTTGTAACATGTTTTTATGGATGGGGAAGTGGAGAACCAACCGAAATGCAAGGCTTATTTCACAGAAAGAAAAACTGAGGCACAAAGCCCTTGCTTACTGTGAAATGAGCTGGTGGGTGAGCTGTAGACAAGGCAGAACTTCTCACTAAACCAAGCACAAACCAAGACTTTGCCTCCCAGGCCTTGACAGACTGTAAAGTCCATGACACTCACATGGCAAGTGGCCTGTTTTCCAATACATTGATAATCAAGACTAACTTACGTGGGAATCAGATACCATGGCTGGCAAACAGAACAAGAAAAAATATGGTACTTGTATTAGTTAAGTATGAATGATTCAGACAGCTGTAGCCATTTACAAAGTGCAGTTACAAAGTTCCTGCGGGAAAATCTAGTTTTCCATCTTACTATCAGACATAGGTAATGATATTTGGGAATACTAGCTGCAATCATGGAATTTTTCAAGGCTTTCTTTTAAATGACCTACTTTGTTTCTCTAAGTATCTGCTGAACTTTTGATAATACAGATAAGAGCAATTATTTGGAACTTGTTATTATTAATGATGCCATGCCACAAGTTATTTTTAAGTACAAAAGTAGGTAAATTACTTTTATGACAATTTACAGAGGATAATGTAAACTTTGCTAATGAAAAATAAGCTATTCCAGATAATGCAATTTTGGTTAAGGAAAAAAAAGAACAACTATAAACAAGCTGTAAGAGCAACATGTTTTGAAACACTTTCACGATTGTGTTGTCATCTCAGCCTTGACCGTAATGAACTATGCCCATATCTGAATGTGCCAGGATCAGTTCAGAAGGCTGTGGAGATAACTCAGGCTATTTTTAAGACCGAGTAAGCCAGTGAGAAGGATAACAACTAGAGAAGGATAAAAAAATGCGACAGGCAGATGAACCTACAGTTTGTTTTCATTCCATTCTACTCATTTTCAGATTCAGTAACTTGGGGCCCATTATTGCAAATTCAAACAAGCAGCACTTTGGCTTTTAAAATACTACTCCACTAAAATCTCTTTTTTTCTGAAGAACTGCAACAGTTTCGTATTTACTGCTGTTTTCCAGTGAGATATGGGTAAAGCTGAAAACGTTTCAAGTTGAAACTTTAAGAGGTCCCATCCTAACCCCATAAAAGGATTCTAACGAAACATAAGGAATAATTAATTAAGAAAGAGTTGTGCCAGTCTGCAATGGCAATATGCATAGGTCCGATATAATAAAAGTTTGACTAAAGCTGCTTTAAAACATTATCTGAAATAATTATATTTCTTAAATAGATTCTATATGTATATTTGCATACCAAAGTGTATTGTTCTATTTATAATATTGTTGTTACTGCTAAAAGACATGCTTTGTGTTAATAAAAGTATGCAAAATTAGAGTATTTCAGCTTGGTTTACAAAGGAAGCAAGGCTTATGCAACTGCACTTTCTGTCTCTGAGATCCCATCATAATTTTCAAGTCTTCAGGCTATTTTCTATCAACTTTGATGAGAAAGAAAGAATTTCAAAGATGACTAGGATCATCTAAGCTCCATGAGGATCAGTGGCAGGTCAGAAAAGTACACTAGTGAAGAAAGGCAGGCCCTGGCCCAGGTGCTATGTATGTTATTATCCTGGTTTCATCTGGGATAGAGTTAATTTTCTTTCTAGTAGCTGGTACAGTATTATGTTTTGGATTCAGTATGAGAAGAATGTGGATAACACACTGATGTTTTCAGTTGTCGCTAAGTAGTGTTTAGACTAAGTCAAGGATTTTTCAGCTTCTCATGCCCAGCCAGCAAGAAGGCTGGAGGGGCACAAGAAGTTGGGAGGGGACACAGCCAGGACAGCTGAACCAAACTGGCCAAAGGAATATTCCATACCATGTGAAGTCATGCCCAGTATGTAAACTGGGGGGAGATGGGGGGGGGCGGGGGGCAGGAGGGGAAGAGGCATAGATCGCTGCTCGGGAACTAACTGGGCATCAGTCCGCAAGTGAGCAACTGCATCGCACATCACTTGTTTTGTATATCCCAGTTCTTTCATTATTATTGTTATCATTTCCTTTCTGTCCTACTAAACCATTCTTATCTCAACCTGTTTTACTCCCCCCCCTCCCCCCAATTCTCTCCCCTGTCCCACTGGGTGGGGGGGGGAAGTGAGCAAGTGGTTTTGTGGTGCTTAGTTGCTGGCTGGGGTTAAACTATGACAGTTGTCTAGAAGAATGACAGGCAGCCAGCATTTGTACTTCCTGACCAGTCACAAACTGTACCATCTCTTGTGGCATGGAGAATACAGAATGTCATCTAACAGGAAAAAAAAAGATTAAAAACCCTTTGGGCACTATTCAAGGCACCATTTGCCTTCAAATAGGCCATCACAGCTAAGCTTTTGTCAAATTCAGTGCATAAGCAGCGGCTGGCACACAATTCTTGATCCCCACACACCCTAAGGTGCCCCATCACCAAGTGTCCACTGGTTTCATTAAGGTTACAGTTATTCAGCACACCTACAAACCCCATCAATAAGCCCCGCAGGCCCATTCCCTTACCTAAGCTACCTAACACGGCAATGTACCAGTCCTTTCTCAGGACAGGGTTGGGACAAGCCAGGTCAGCCGGGTTCTGGGAGCAGTGGGCATGAGCAGGCCCCGGAGGCTCGGCAGCTCCCTGCCACACAGAAACGCACAACCTGAGGGCCGCAGCACCTCACTCCTCAGCTGCGGCCAGACCAGCTGGTGGTGGTCGTGGTGGTACAGCCCCCACCTCTATCACCCGCTTCGGCTCAGCGCCCCTAAGGAGCGGGAAGCAGCCCAGAGAAATCAAACCCGCGCCTAACCCAGGCGTGAGGCGACCCCGCGCAGCCGCCATCTCCCGCCTCGCCCGCCTTTTCTCCTCACGCCTCGGTCCCGCCCCTCCCGCAAGCCCCACCCTCCGCGCTCTCCTATTGGCCAGGAGCCCGCTCTTCCCCACCCCTAACGCCTCTCTGGGACTGTCTCGGAAGGAGAGAGGGAGGGGCGAGTCTCGCGAGAAGTGGCAGTTCCCGGCCTGACGCGCCTCCCGCCTCTCGGCCGGCAGCGGGCGCTGACAGCGGCCCTGCCGCCCCCGGCCTGCCGCCGCCTCCCGCCCCGCCTGAGGGAGCGTGCCCCCCGCCCCCTTCCCTCCATCGGCCGCGGCACCAGCCCCGGGCTGGCACTGGATAAGCGGAGCGGAAAATGGAGGAGCTCTGCGGTGTGGGGGCCGCTGCCCCTCTGAGGGGAGACGCGGAGGAACCCAAACAGGTAACGGCGGGGGGGTGGGGGGGACGGGACCCCACCCGCCCTGCCCTACAGCGGGAGCGGGGATCGGTCCCGGGGCTGAGGGGTAACCGGTGTCCCGCAGCCTCCCCCGCAGCTGCCCGCCGGTGCCGCCGCTGGTAGCCCGGCGCCGGGCGCTGCCGGTTTGACCGCGGCAAGCGCGGGGCTGTAAACACAGCCCACAGTAATGTTTTGGGTTGCCTCACAGGCGTGCATCCTCTTTCCAGTTTGGCCAGTGAGGGAACGCTGTTGTCAGGACTGGAGTACAGTAGGGAACGTACTAATTATGATTAAGCCTTAATTGTAAGCGGTATTTCTGTTGTTACGCTTAAGTGCGGTGTGCTGCGTTGTGTTTACGTAAATAGTATCCTGTGGATCTGTTTTTTTCCCTTAACGTGTATCGGTTCACAGCTCTTAACGCGAGTGTGACGGCTGCACGTTCTCTGTATTTGAAAAGAGATGTGTGGTCACAAGGCTTACTTACAAAGGCAGAAGCCTCTTTAGCTTTAATGCCGGTGTTTGTTAGTGAACACTTACTTTCACAAACTTTTGCGGCATTACTGGGAATTGTGTTTTGGTTTCGGCCTTTCTGAGTAATTTCGCGTTCCGTGGGGAGCTGTCCTTAATAGCACTCTAGCCTTGTAACTCCTGAAGTGGAGCATACGCTTGACGCAAGCGTTGGAATCAGGGTAACCGAAATAGTCGTGAACGTGTGCAGGAGACAATCACGCGTGAATGCAGCACCAGCCTTTGGTCGGTTACCATTAAAAACAGCTTATCATAGAGCAAGTCTGATAGTGTTAATTTCTGTTGTTTTATAAGCAAATATTTCCCTTTGAAAACTAGGGGTCAGTGTTGTTTCTTGGAGGCAACGAAGTGAAAAGCAGTGCTGTGGTGAAATACTCGTCTGCCCCACCGCAAGCAGCGTTTGCTCGTCTTCAGGAGAAAACAGACTTGAAACTTCCACCTGCCAATTGGTTACGTGAAAGCGCTAAGCTGGGACCAGCAGGTACAACCATTCTTGGCAACAACAAAAAAAGTAAACCATTTTCAAGGTAAATAAGAGCAGGCTCTTTCCACGCCTTTAAGAATAATTCTAAGAGTGAACTTGGACCCTATGTAATTCAAAGTATAAAGTACAGACTTTACCATAGCAACTAGCTATTGGGTTTTTTAACCATTCTCCCTCTACTTTTTCATCCTTAGTTCTTGCCTGTACGCCATAATCTTGACTCCTTTGTAAATGATTAATGATATTGGTAATGCTGTTGATTATTATTTTTTTCAAGTGCATGTTGACACCTTGCCTGACAAAGTCAAACTGACTTCATGTTCTTTCCTGGTTGGCTGTTGCCGGTTGGCCAAAATCAAACTAGACTGGTTCAGCCAGCCATTCTGCTTCCGGTAACAGGTGAAAATGGAAAAAGTGTGCTTCCTCTTGAAAGTTACAGAGCCAATTTATGGCTCTTCTTGATCTTCAGAAACTGGACCTGGCTAACTAATGGCAATAGAAATTTCATAGTCATGTCAAGAGTGAATGCAGAAGGTGAAATAAGGGGTAAAACCAAAAAGCAGTGTTAACCTTTTGGTATGGATATTTGTTAAATGATTGGATGAGTTGAGTTCAGAGTGTTTATAAATAGGAGGCTTAAATCCTGCGCTGAACAAGCAAATTCACACTAAGTCAAGTAGTTAGTGAAATCTAACAGTTTGTGGAGGGTCTGTGTTGAAATCCTCATAATCTGTTTTAGGACATGTATGTTTTTGAGCAGAGTAATGCGTTCCCCAGGGCTTTATGAATTTTTCCTGTTTATTTTAGATATTATGTTTGTTTGTCAAATAGAGGCTGGCAGTTTAATCTCTGTGTCTAGTGTTGGTATTAAAAAGCTAATAGTGAAAGTATAACTTTGGACACTTGCACATGATGTATTTGTTTGGGTTATAGTAATATCTGGTTTAATTTTAAAGAATGGTCTGTACATTGAAATATTCTAACTTAATAGCTTGTAATTTAGAGAGGCCTTAATGAAGGTGGATGAAGATACAAGGATGTGTCTGTTACATGTAGGCCAGTTTTAGAAAACATAAATAAGAGGTAAAATAAAATGATGGCTGCTAAAATGAAAGTATTTAACGTATTTACTGCCTTAAAGAGAAACTCTTTGAAAAGCTGTCCTCGTTTTTAGTGTTAAAAAAAAATTAAGACCCGAATTTCTCCAATTTCCCATAGCTGTCTTAACAAACACTAAATAGTTCTGATTTTCTTGATTTTAACAAAACTTAAACTACCTCTTAGAACGTCTTGAAATTGGATCTAAGCACTTCCAAAGATATCTTTGAAAAACTTGCAGAATGTAAAAATTAAATGATTTTGTTAATTAACTTAGATCTAATTACACCTGGTAATTTTTAGCTAGACTGTTTTTGTTTTGTTTTGTTTTGTTTTTTATGAAGAAATGTTGTGGTTTAACCCCAGCCAGCAATTAAGCACCACGCAGCCGCTCGCTGACTTCCCCCCCACCCAGTGGGATGGGGGACAGAATCAGGGGGGGAAAAAGTAAAACTTGTGAGTTGAGATAAGAACAGTTTAATAGAATAGAAAGGAATAAAGGAATAATGATAATAATTACAATAATAAAATGACAATACTAATAAAAAAAGAATTGGGATATACAAAACAGGTGATGTACAATGCAATTGCTCACATTCACTGACGGATGCCCAGTTAGTTCCCGAGGAGCAATCTGCCTTCCCCCCCCCCCTCCCCGCCTCTGAGCCAGCTCTCCCCAGTTTATATACTGGGCATGAGATCACATGGTATGCAATAGTCCTTTGGCCCAGTTGGGGTTGGCTGTCCCCTCCCAACTTCTTGTGCCCCTCAAGCCTTCTTGCTGGCTGGGCATGAGAAGCTGAAAAATCCTTGACTTAGTCTAAACACTACTTAGTGACAACTGAAAACATCAGTGTGTTATCCACATTCTGCTCATACTAAATCCAAAACATAACACTGTACCAGCTACTAGAAAGAAAACTAACTCTATCCCAGCCAAAACCAGGACAAGAAAAAACTTTCAAAGATTTAATAAACTTAAAAAAACAGGTCTATCTTTAATGTCACACTGCCTTTGTCTTAACTTGTAATATTTTCTAAATAGCTTTGGGATGGCATATGACTTCATTGACTCAGTTGGAAATGATGTAGATGTTGTGTCTGATTCAGAGGTATGTATAACTTTTTATGTTCTATCATTCAAACTCTTACATTGTATAAACCTTATTTTAAAATACTGTCATGGCTTCTGTCATCTTTGTGTCCTTTGAGAACAAGTAAAGATCCCATAGTGAAACACGAACAGATTACCTAACTTTCGCTCTGTCATTTAAGGGAGTTGTGATCACTGAATAAGAAATGTACAGACAAAATTGTATTTCCTGTGGATTTCTACAAATAATCTTCAGCTAAAGTATGCGGTTTAGTGAATGCAGCACATCAGTCTTGCAGTGTAGTTGTCTTGTGTGTTTGAAATCGGTTATTTTAATGTGACTTATTACTTTCAAGATGATTTTTTTTTTCTATTCTTTTCTAGAAGAAATAGATCCCCTTCAGCCACCTTCTTTCCTCTGATTTTTGTCAGCTTTTTTGGTGCTGGTGATACTTGTAGAATTCAGATGAGGCCCTTCAGAAAAGGAAACATACATACTCATTTACTGTCTCAGTGTTGATGTTTGGCAGATTTTTATTCAGACTTAGATCTCTGTGCAGTTTCCTCTGGGTATCTGACAAAGTGTTGGTATTCCTGTGGTGAAGATAAAGCTTTTAAAATCCAAACCATCCACTTGTATTTTTTGTCACTTTTGATGTTGCCTGGTTGTGATGATCCAAAGAGAGACCATGTTTAAACCATGTATGTGGTTTATACCGACTACTTTGTCTCTTTATCATGGTCATTCATGTTCTCTGACCTCAACAAATGCAACTTCTTGTAGAATGGCCTTCTTAAAATCACTGGCACTACAAGGTTTTGTTTGCGTGCTTGTGCCTCTCCAATTTTAGTAGTGTATTCTTTGCTTACAGTTTCCTGAGAATTGTCTTACAATGCAGTATAATTGTATTGAGTATTATTTCTGTTCTCTTTTCTCCTGCAAGAATATTAAAAAACTTCTGAAGATACCTTATAGCAAGTCACATGTGAGCATGGCAGTACATCGCATTGGGCGGACACTTTTGTTGGATGAGCTAGATATTCAAGAACTCTTCATGAGATCATCTCAGGTTAACCATTTTTTTTTAATTTTTTTTTTTTTGTTAAGTATGTCGTATGGTCAAAATGCATTATTTCAAGAATACTATAGCCAGCAAGAAAGCATGTATGTATCAAAATGCCTGAGAATCATATGCGAGTAGAAAAGGTGCTCTACTCTGCAGCAGTTGGTTTACCCACGAACTGCATCTGATGTCCTATATTTATGGTATTGTAAGATTAAAATTCCATGCCCCACTTTCCTGTAATTACTTTAGTATTGCTATACTATTTTATTAGTTTTACTATTAATTAGTATTTGTTACCTGTGTAACCTCTTACCATGTATCTGACTTTCTAATTAAGTCAACTTTTCAGTAAGAACGTAACTTTCCTAGAAGAAACATTTTCAGTAAATGACCAATTCAAGACTTTAGCTGTGAAGTTATTTTCTGGGTTTTTTTTGTTGTTGTTGTGGATGAGTATTCATAAGTTAGTGAGGCACTTGGTTTACTTTCCAGATGCTTCTTGATATTAATTTTGTATTTATGATATTGCCTAGACAGGGGACTGGACATGGCTGAAAGAGTTTTATCAAAGGCTGATTGATCAGAAGTGGCAACGAAAAAAGAAGAGTAAAGAACACTGGTACCAGAAGGCTATACTCTCTAAATTTTTGTATTACAGGTAACCTTATGTCTGCATGAATCTTGGAACTCTGCATCACTTGCTTTTGCCTAGTTTCTTGTCTTGAAGTAAATGCTAAAATTCCGTTATGGTCTATCTTATTTACTGATTTATCCTTATACAGGGGAAATTGAGGGATGACATCAGGAAATGACATGTAAATGTTTTAACAGAATTTGAAGTATTTTAAAGTAAAACTGAAGTATTAAAGAATAAAATAAACAGCATGACTTAATTAACTGCATATCTCAATATTTATGGGTTTGAGGGAAGAACAAGTTAAAATATGCAAGGTAGACTGTGACACCTGCTGTAACTTTGTACAAATTTGAGCAACGAACAACTTGTTGATATACCAATCTTTTACCATATTAGCAAAGTCATTCTTTGAGAACAGGGCATCGAATATAACAATTCTAGAAAGGATCTGTTTGCATATTGTCGACTGAACTTTTTAATGTTGCTTTGTCAGTATTAATGGTGATGGAGCTGCTCAGCCTGTTCCTTCCACTTCAAAACAGCATCAGGAGGGTCCTGTTTCAGGTGAGAGTGATGAAGCAGGAAGGTCCTCCTGGCCAGCTCCTTTTGAAATGCCTTCTTCATTATCTGAAGATCCAGGTGCCTCTAACCAGGTTAGTGTTTGTAATGTTTTAAATGGCACCTTAGTTTTCGTAGAGACATATATATTGAAAGGTTTTTAAAGGTGCTGCTGCAGTATTTTTTGCTGAAAGAAATTAACTAAGTCATTAGAAGGACTTGGCAGTACGTGCGGTTTAGCTTATGCCAGTGTTTCAGAGCTCCAAATTTCAGATTTTTTTTTTTTTTTTCTGTCACTGTAGTGCTAACTACATATTTATCTGTGCATTTTTGGGAAACAAAATGTTAGGCTAGGAGTAGTCATCAATGACTTTACCTAAAAGTAGGAAAATCTGATATTAAGAAGGTGCGTATGGAAGCCTAAGGTTTTGGCCTTTCTTCTTAAATCCGCCATTAAAATGAATCTGTTGTGGCCCTGAATTTATGAGGTGAAGAGGAAAATGAAGATCTGTGAAAATGTTTGCAAAACAATTAAGCAACATTTACAACTACTTGCTATGAGATTACACAAGTGGAGGATGAAGGTGTTGATAGTAATTATGCAACAAACTATGATTAGTATTAGGCTGTAATCCAAGGTTTCAATCTGTGGCTAAGCTTATTTATGAAAACTGTTAATTCCTGTGGGTTTTGAGTAATATAATACAGGTATTGATTAAAATTCTGAGAAGTTGAAAGATCTGTTGTATTTAGTCTACATTAATGTAATAATGATGCTATAGTTATGTGTAGACAGTATTATGAACTGGTATGCCAAATAATTACTTGGTCAGCTCACTTATGAAGGGTCTAACCTACATTATCCATAAAATTGTAAATGTGTATGTTGCAGTGTGGTAATATGCTAAAGTGGAGAAATAGTTCAGTACTTGAAAGCTTTTTGAAAAAGGACTACTTCTCTCTTCCACCTTCTTGAGGAGCTGTTGCCTAATACAGCAGACTGTTTATCATAAAGGAGCTGTTGTGCGTTTTTACAGTGTCCTTTAATTTATAAATAAGATATCAGGATAGAGGTTTTACTTCTGGAGACTGATAATCTGGTGCTGACCCTGGGATAATAAAGAGTTTCTATAAAAACTTTCTGATTTATTTCCAAAGCCTTTGAGAATATAAAGTGCAAATTTTTGGTACTAGCTGTAGAAAAGAAGCATTCTAGTCACTGACTAGAAGCTTTTTGTAGTTCAATACATATTTATTTAAAGATGTTAGAGGTAAAGATTTTTTCCTCATATGCTTTTGTTCAGATTTTTTTTAATGGCCTAACTTAACCTCAGCAGCAGAATCACTCCTTATCCTTGTGCTTTTCACAGGGAAGTGTGCCTCTTGAACCCTCATATATAGTGGGGCATGTGGCCTCAGCCCCCAAAGAACAAAACCTGACTACTTTGTTCAATGACGGGGAAAACAGTCAGGTATGCTATATGTGAAATTTGAGCTCAAACACTGAACACCCAATTTAATCAAACATTTTAAAATTTGGTCTAAATTGGAACCAAGAAAAAAACTAAGTCCCCTGTAGAAGTAGCTTTTGTGGCATCTGTGATCTCAGTCTTTTAAGTTAATGTGAATGCGTAGCATAGTTCATTATGTGTTGTCTTTTATTTGCTGCTTTTGCTTCTGGCTTTCTCATAATTCCACAGAATGTTATAGAGAACAAGTTTTATACTAGTGATTTATAGACCAATTTTTTTCTCTTAACGAAGGGACTTAAAAATGACTTTGTTCGTAATATCTTGTGGACCTTTGAAGATATCCACATGTTAGTAGGATCAAATATGCCTATATTTGGAGGTGGGAGATACCCTGCTGTGAGCTTGCGTCTCAGGTGAGTTTTGAAGTTAATGAGATATACATGCCAGCCTTGACTGACTTGTTGCTTTGCTTCCTGTTTAGCTATCTGCATTTTGTTTGGTTGACTCTTAATTTTTATGTGCAATTTAAGGAATAAAATTCATGCTTTAGACTTAAGTGGTGATGGCATTGTAAAGTGCAGGAAAAACAGAAGCAGTCCCAAAGCCATGCCACTGCACTGGGACTTGAGATGCTCTGCTGCTTTTTCTGGCTCTCTAAATAAATCTGTATTTGAAAGTACTGGCTGTTTGCAACCTTTCCTGACTTCAGTGTGACTCTTAAGTGTTAAAACGCTTCTGTACATCTAGTCTTTAATTTCATTCTATTGCTATTTTTATAAGAGGGCAGTAATATTTCTCCTACTGGGATTCTGAGTTTCAATAACTGCTAGTAGGGCGTAAGTACTTAAAACTTGTGACTGTAGTTCTAAGTTCTGACTTGTCTTACTGTTTGCTTTATGTTGATCACTTGATTACCAGTCTTTCTGGTAAGAATGAGCAAAAACTTGAAACTTGTTTGGTGTAATTGTCATCTTTTCGAGATGTATCTAGGAATTAACAGTACCTTGCTTTACAACAATTTTGGAAGGTCTGGGAGAAGGCTTGTGCTATAATTAGTTGCAGCTAATACTGATATTCCTTTAGAACTTCTCACGTACTTATTATCTTGGTAATAATGTGACATCTGAAGCTTTTTAAAGTTTCAGTGTAAGCGTGGGCAAAAATTCAAAACTGCTGAGGGAATGTGAGTGTATTCTATTGGAGAGATCAGTACATCTGTTTTGTTTGATATGACTCATTGTTTGCCTCTTTATAACAATTCACAAATAATTGTTTTAGTTTCCATCCACTCTCGGGTGACTTAAATCTTAATTCTGTTAGTAAACATCCCTTATTTTTTCTGAAGAGTAAGTAAAGACTTAAATAACACTAGAAATACTTGTTTTTAGGGATAACAACAAGCCAATAAATGTGCTAACAGGAATTGACTATTGGTTGGACAACTTAATATGTAATGTACCAGAGCTTGTGATGTGCTTTCATGTTAATGGAATTGTTCAGGTAAGTCTGGCTCTTTGCATTATGCCTAGTTAAGCCATTCTTCAGTTTCTGAAATTGCTCCAGTTGTAACAGATCTCTTTCTAATCTTACGGCTTTCACAACAAGATTACAGAAATCCTTTATTGCAGAGTGAGAAGCATCTATGCAGCTTGCAACAGTCATCCAAAAATATTGTGGTGTTTTTTTTATTTTTTTCCTTTCCATGCATGCAAGATTCCTTCTTCACCTGATGTATGAGTGAAGGCAAAAATAAAAAATGTAGCAGCAGAAATACATCAGTTTCTTGCATCTTAAAATCCATAATGTTAACTTGCCAAGACAGATGCATGTTTGTTTTTACTATTTTACAGTAGACCACACATACCAGCTTTCCGTTGTACCTAGTAGCATATAGTTGCTTACTAGGCTGACTAGGTTTCATTGAAGTAAGAGTTAGATGTTGCACCTTCACCACTTTTTTTTTTCACCTTTTGTTCTCCATTTACCATGTTTGTCACAGAAGTGAATCCTCTTTAAAGCTTTTATTGAGTAGTATAATCAAGATGTGCTTGCTTTTAAAGTAAATCGTAGAAATTAACTCAGTTTATCATGACACTATCATAATAGTAGGCTTTGTTTCTTTTACCCATTGACACTGATCTGTAGATTTTGGGAGGGTAGGTGGCAGAAAACCCTCCTAATCTTGAGCTTTAACATATATTTCTTGCAGAAATATGAAATGATAAAGACTGAAGATATTCCCAATTTGGAAAACTCTAATTTTTCTACCAAAGTGATAAAAGATATTGCTCAAAATATCTTATCTTTTCTGAAATCAAATTGCACCAAAGAAGGACATACTTACTGGTTATTTAAAGGCAAGTAGGTTTAGATCAATTTGAAAAGATTTGTGTTAATGTCACGTTGATTAATGAAAGGTCTTACCTTCCAGCAAGTGGGAGTGATATAGTAAAGCTCTATGACCTAACCACACTTTGTGAAGAGACAGAAGACAAATACCAAAACCCTTTTACAATGCCGGTGGCAATTCTTCTATACAAGTGAGTTTTTATAATTTTTGCTGTAATACTTAGTTCTTGGTGCAGTTGTATTAAGAATACAGACCAAAAATTATGACGAAATGAAAATGCATCAAGTTAAAATCTTCTTTTACACATAAGCTTGGTAAGCCTCAGTCTCACCAAATGAAAACAGACTTTGTCGTTTTCACCATTTCTCCATGTAAATTACACTCTTGCTGAGTAAGTTTTGTAGACCCATCCTGAAGTTTGGGAATTCTACATTTGCAGTAGTATTGTTTAAAGATTTTTTTTCTTTTTTTTTTTTTTTTTTCTTCGAGCACAAATAATTTATCCAGGGATTTACTATTTTGTTCAACTTTCTTTTAGAGTTGCTTGCAATATGATGCTGAAGAAAAACCAGAACAAGAAACACTATGGCACTATCAGAACATTGCTCCTTAATTGTCTTAAGTTATTGGACAATGGCAGACATCCTCAAGTAAGAATTACGTGTTTTCTTGTAGCTTTGTGTAAATATAGTAGAAATGCCGTCATTGTAATACACCTGGTAATATTTTGTGTGGTTCCTCCTCCCTTTGCAAGGGAGAGAATTTAAATTTATTTATAAACTTAGAAATTGCCTTATGTTTAAAGAAGCCCCAGACTTTTTTTTTTTTTTTTTTCAGTAAGTAGCCTTCACTGACCGTCATTGCTGCATGAGTCTTCTGTCCTGCTCTAAAAAGGAACTTGTCATTACATTTGCTCTTTTGCCCTTGTTCTTAAAGACCACTTTTGTGTTTGGAAGCTGTACAGACACTGAAGCAGATCTTAGCTAGACATTGTAAAACGTGAATGTAGGAACATTTTTACTCTGAAGGTGGCTGAATGTTGGACAGGTCAACCAGAGAGTTTATAGAGTCTCCATCCTTTGAGATACTCAAAGCCCGACTGGATGTGGTCCTGAGCAATCTGCTTAGAGCAAGGGGGTTGGGCTAGACAATCTCCAGGGGTTCCTTCCAACCTCAGCTATTCTGTGTTGGGTGGGAGATTCAGAAAAAGAACCTCAAATAGAGGGCTTCAGTGGCATTAAATTTAATGTCTTTTTTGAACAGTCAGAAGTAGAGAGGATGTTGGGAAGCAGAAGAAAGGAATGTGATCAAGAGCTGCCCCTATTTATTTATTTTTCTTTTAAAGGGAAAAACCAAAGCTGTCTTGGGCGAAGGTGTCTGTATTCCCAATTTTACCTTTATGCCCTCACTTGCAAAACAGGAGATGAAGACCTTGTAAGGTGGGGGCTGAAACCAAGCGTGGGCAAGCTTGGTTGTGGGGGCTCCACGCACGTATACAGATAGTTGACAACATACTGTCTGCAGTGATTTGTTTCTTAAATATTGTTAAAAATTCAATGCTAAAACAAACAGTCATACAGTGTGTGTGTGCATGTGCGCGTACAGGCTGTATTTACAGCCTATCAAATATCTACTTGCATGTACTGTTTACTCCTTATTCTAAGACAAATTACATGCTGCTGCCTCTCAAAAGAAAAAATTAACTTGAAAATAAAAAACTACTTTTTTTCTCTTATTTGAAAAGATTATTGCTTCAGCAAACTACATGTTATCAGAGCTTTTTCAGTTGGATGAACCTAAAAAAGAAGACAGTACAGACTTCCCTATAAATGGAAATTCTGATGAAAGTTATAGCGAGGAAGAGGAAGAAATGCCAGACAGTGATGAAAATGGTTCTTACAGTAACAGTTCTGATCCACCAGATGACAATAAAGCAGTGGCTATAATCAAATCTGTTGGAGAGTTATCAGTACCAGAAAAATACAAGTCTGTTCATCGAATACGTGTAAGTGAAGTCATGGATTTTTTTTTAAGGGTTTCTTGAAAGATTCAGTTCATGTAGCAAGGTTTGTTATTGAAATTCAGTTACCTGCTAGTTTTGTCTTCAGGTGAACTGAAGCATGAGGCAGTTGGGAAAGAAACACTTTGTGAGCTGCTCATAAAATTTGAGGTCTTTGAATTTTACAGTGTAGCAGGTTTAATGTAGATTTTTCTCTGCCACCTTGCACGTGTCTGTTGCAACACGATTCTGCGTAGCTGGCTACACAAAAACTATTCCTGTCACTCTAGCAGAGAAAATATTGCCAACTGTGGCCATGTGTACGAGCTGTAGATGACCACAAGTTTGTGTGGATACCTAGGTTATTTTAGTATTATTTTTCCTGGAGCAATATTAACGTTTGGGGTTTTTTTTCTGGGAGCATCAGCTACTTCATGTCCACAGAGTTAGTCTTTGATTTCCTTCTTTGATTTGTCTTTCCACGGTAACTGGTCAGAATACAGCAATTTGACTCCTTGAAGTTCTGGTTATAGTTAATTTTAAAAGAGAGATGGAGCTTTACTCTGCACATGTGTGTATATTGTGTCTAAGGGGACAGCTGGGTGCATAACCGTAAGTATATCTGAAACTTCATTGACATACATGTGCTTCATAAGCGAATCAGCAGAAGTGTAATACTGCTACCTTCATTGCACTTTCTGTGCATTATTATTGAAACAAAATAGAAGAATATGAGAAACTGGGAAGATCAGTGAAGAAACTGTTCATAGAATTTTACTTTTGTTCTGGTGTTTTGCTTGTCTTACCTATATAGGGATATGATTATGAAATGACTCTCATTGGTGAAAAGCTAAGCCTTTTTTCTAATGTCTGTGCAAAGAACAAGATTTCCTAAAAAAAATTAAAAAAAAAAATAAAAAAAATTGTAACTCTTGTTGCTATCTTAATTTCTAACACTTCAAGGTCCATCAGCTGAAAATACAACAACTTGTACAGGTGCAGAAGCACTCAATTTCCCCTTCCTTCTCCCCCTTCTACTCTATCCCAGAAGAAAATGAAAATACACCACCCCCACCCTTCCCCCTGCCCCCAAAAACCCCAAACCCAAGGCACTGAGTTGCTCAAAGGTGATGAAAGTGCAACTTGGATGTATAGGCTGAGGAAGTGGTTTCTGTATAGTATTGAATCTGCTTGTCTTCCTGGGTCTGCATCGCAGACCATCTGTGGATACTTTTGTAATTACTGTTATGGAATAGTATCATCTCATCTCTTCTCTTCTTTGCATTGTCTTTGGGATTACCAGGAGAGACCAAGTGTAGATGACCAGCTATATGAATTGCTCACTGAGATAAAAGAAAGAAATACTGTGACACTTCATAGTGTAGAGTTCAGTTCCCTTAACAGGTTTTCTTAATGCTGTCTCTCATTTGTATCTTCTAGCCAGTAATTTTGATGTTTCACGTGTTGAACACTAATTTTCTTCTTATTCCTTCCCTGCTGCCCCCTCAATGAAGCCTAGCTGTGCATTTCCTGTCTGCCATGGCACCGAGGAGCGCTGCAGGCTAGTGCTCAGCTATGTCCTGGAGGTAAATTTACCATCAACTTTCTAATGATGTTTCACCTAGTACCCAACTCTTGATGTATTCTGTATTTGCTAGATATTGCCTTCAAGGTGAATTAAAGGATTTCTTCTTGCAGGGCTTGAAGTCTGTTGACAGCAGTGTTAAAAAAGAGGGTGACCTTCCTGCAGCTGACCCCAGCACACCAATCCCATTGAAATATGAAGATGAATCCACCAGTGGTGGTCCCGAGTGTCTGGAAAAACAGATGGCATTATTTTTAGACAAAAGTAAGTTGTATTGTTGTGCAAATAAGACATTTCCAGTGCCAACACACACTGCTGCTACTTTATTTTGATTGTCAAAACAGTGTACTTAGAAGTCACTAATTACACGATTGCATAAGCAAAAGCAGTATACTGAGAATTGGAGAACAGTCTGTTCCTTTTTAAGTATGAAAAGAATAGCTCATTTGGGATATTTTTGCATATCAAAGCATCCTTTATTAGTAAACACATAATTTTACTGGACCCTATTTAGATATGGCTTGCAGATGACTTCCATGAGGGCTTAGTATTTTGGAGTTTGGTATGTGGAGCCCCGTCAGTTGTGTGAGTTGTTTTAAAAACAGGCTTCATTCTTTTTTTGTGACTTGGAAGTTTTGTGGAAGAACTTCTTACTTCTGGCAGTTTTTTCTGCTACATTATGCTTGCTTCTGAACTGCATATAAAATGCTAACTAGGATTTTGTTTTCTTTCTTGTACCTCTACAATTGTGGAAGGAAGCAGAAAATAAAAGATGTTTTGTTTGCTTAAATACTCAAACTCCAGAAGTTTCAGACTATAGTCTGTACTTTATTTTTCTCTGGAGTGCCATAGACTCTTCTGAAGGTAGTAGAGTTCTCTGCAGTTCTCTCAAGCGTAACTCAGGAAGAAATTTAAGTCTTCAATATTTTTACAATTCTTTATTCTTTCTTTTTTCCTCCCTTCCCCCTTTGAAAATCTCTAAATAGTAAGCAAGTTCAGTTCCGAGTTATTCATTTAAGTGTTCTCATGTTTCACTTCCAATTTTGTGATTGTCTCTTGAATGTCAATGACCTGGAGATGTATGCATACTTTCTTAGTTTTTATCAGATATGTGACCACAGAATTTAACACCTCCATCGGAAAGTTCTATTATATTGAGCTTACATAAATTCTGCACGGTACTGTTAATATGGACTGTGAGACTAATTTTTACTGAGACCTACTGAGAAATTTTACCTAGGTCAGCTCAGCAAGAACAGTGTGCTTATTTCAGCTCTCCTGCAGCCAGGCTCTTGTCTTCTGCCTTCAGAAGAATTTGGAACTGATGACACATTGCGGCTGCTTGACAGCTGGCAAGGAGAATGTCCACACGATAACCTTTTCTGTTTAGAAACAAGTGTTTCCTGGGGGTTGTAGGAGATAAATATAGCACAGATCAGAAAAAAATACTTCGGTTGATTTCTGGAGCTGTGCTGGAGTTCTTCCCTGAAGTAGCAATGGTGCTACTTGCTTAGGTCATAAGGATTGAATTCAGCCTAGAGAAAAATAGTTCAAACAGAAGGGAGAAACTTTTGCTTCTCCACTGTGTGGGTTGGTTTATTGCCTGCCATGCAAATTATGTAGTTTTTCTGCTACATGTGTATGTTTACATAGATACAGAAAGGATAAGTGCTCTTAATTCTCGAAGAAAACTACTTCTGGTTAGTATATAGATACAGTATATGTGCATTCTGTGTCTTCAACTGCATGAGGTGTTACTGTATTAGATTTGCCTTTGTCCTAATGTAAACATGTAGTTCTTCTATAGCTTACTAAAGATAGCGGGCTTGCAAGTCAGGCCTTGTAGGGCCACCTGTAAACAAGAGATTCATTTCTGTGTGCAAATATTGTCAGGACAAAATTCTGTCCATTGGTACACTTAAACTCAGTTGCCTGTTCTTTCTGGTTCCATAACTGCTGCAGCATTGAAGAGGGAACCTTCATAATCTCATGCTGAGAATGTCTTGAAATGAGTGTGAGACAGACATTGTTTTTTCTTGTGGGAAGGACCGGGTTATCCAGTTCCTCCTGTGCTGGAGGCTAAACCCACAAATGGAGTCTTTCTCACTTTGAGACTGTTCATAAAGAAGCAGAGCATATATCCTAAGGATTTGGTGGAGAACATGGCAAACTATGCCTGTGGCTTTCCTGTTCTTTTCTACTGCTACCTAACGGAATAGTCTTAGTTTTTGAGACACAGGTGCAGTGGCTGTTTAAAGTGTGAGAGGTTAGCTGCATTGTCACTGTGCTTACTGTGTTCAAGCATCCCACTATCAGGTGGAGTATGTGGAAAAGTTCCAAGTAATGGGTCCATTTTGCAGATGAAAAATGTAGTGGCAGACAAGTTGGCATAACTCTACTTGTGCAGAGCTGTAATAAGGCAGTTTACATTCTGTCTGTATGCTGATGAAGTTGTGTCCAACCTCTGGCATATGTTATGGAGATGAGATTTACTGATGAGGTTCTGTTCCATGTTACAGTGGGCTCATTTCAGAAGGGTAAGCATTGCAGTCAGTCAGGAATGATTCCTGGATCGTGGCAATATAAAATGAAACTCCAGCTCATTCTGAAGTCATCAAGGGCTTATTATGTCCTATCTGATGCTGCTATGATTCTACAGAAATATGGGAGAGCATTACGATACATCAAGCTGGCTTTACAGTGCCATGGTAAGTTGCTAGAATGTGTTTGTCATCTATACCATTGCCTGTATAAACCTTTCATGATATCAAATACTTCTCCTGTGCATGATTTATCCTAGTGGCGTGCAGTGACAAGTCTGACAACCGTGTGTTTAGTTAAACTAAGCGTCTAGCTTATTATTCAGCAGGGAAGTCTGTAGTAAGAATAACTCCTGTCACTGGTAGAAAGGTGCTCCCATTTTGACAGATTGGGAAACTTAGAGTGCAGATTTGGAGCTTCAGAGCATTTGAAGCTGGGAGAGTCAGTCCTGGTGCCAAGACCAAGACAGTATTCTGTGGTCTAAGTGCTATTGCTGCAAGCAGATGTTTTTTTGCCTGGAAATGCCTGGTGGTTCCCATTTGATTTAAATATATTCCTGACTCAGAAATACCAAACTTGTTCATCAGCTGAATTAGATACTCCTCTAAAATTAAATACATGTTCAAGTATTACTGAGGAAAATGAAGGAAGGAAAATCAGGCTGTTCAGAATATTACTACCATAATGAGAATAACTAATCAGAAAATGCTATTAGCTTAGTACTGTAGTGCTGCTATTTTGCTTCAGTATTTGTAGGGCTTGGGGCGGGAGGAGGCTTATAAAGCAAGAGTGCTTGATCTTAACACAAAGCATCAATATGCTTATCAATAACTCAAAGCATTCTTCAGCTTTCAGGCTTTTAAAGACTTGAGAATTGAGTTTAAAGTGTACCTTGTGGAATTTAATTTTTCATGCTATATCTCATTTGAGTTAATCTGTAGAAAGTCGGTTTTCCTTCAGTCAAATCTAAGATTAGCATTTGTAATTACCAGATTCACTGCTCATCTTGGTCACCATAGCTGCTCTTTTTCAAACTGTCAGCAGAGCAACTATGACTTTAAAATAGGTTAGTTCTTCTTAGAAGAACATGTGTTGTCTGCATACAGAGAATAAGTGTGACAGGTTACATAAAACCCGATTATATTGTCAGTCTGTGTCAAACCTTTTGATGTTTAATGCTTTTCTTTCCTGCTCCCTCATCCATGGAATTTTTTTTCTAATAGATACCTACTGTTGTCTCTGCGCCAGCATGCTTCCTGAAGTGTTAGTATTTCTTTGTCAGTGTTTAACCCTTTGTGGAGATATCCAATTAATGCTTGCTCAGAATGCAAACAACAGAGCTGCATATCTTGAAGAGTATAATTACCAGACAAAAGAAGATCAGGAAATATTACACAGTCTTCATAGAGAATCCAGGTGCCAAGGTATGATACTGATACAAGATAACTGTCATAATGCAGTTATGTGACAGACATAATTTCATTGCGCTTCCTCAAAACCATGCACTAGTAACATTTCTGGAGAAGGGTTTATTAAGCTTCAGTTCTGTTTTCTTCAGAGAAAGCTTATTGTGCCTGTCATACGTAAGGAGGTTGTCAAGGTATTGTATGACATGCCTGAAGCTGTAAAATAATGGGAGACATTGTTTAAGTAATGGGTAAATTTTACGTATCTGCAGAAATTGTGGGATTGTTCTGACATGATTGTTATACTTGGTCATCTTTTTTGGCATTTTCCTCTAGACTATCGCAGATGTAAGTTTGTTTGGAAATATTGTTTGACATGCAGGCTTTGCATTTTGTTTTCTAGTGTTTGCCTGGGCTACAGATTTGTCTACAGACTTGGAATGCCAACTTTCTGTCAGCTGTAAATGTTATGAAGCAGCTTATGAAATTTTACTTTTTAGTAATCTAAAAAACCAAAATCCAGAGCAGCATATACAGGTACTAAAGAGGATGGGCAATATCAGGAACGAGATTGGAGTGTTTTACATGAACCAGGCTGCTGCAGTGCAGACTGAGAGACTGGGCAAGTATTCTTTTTTTCCACTTCTTACTATTTCGCGGAGCTACAATAATGATCATGTTCACTAATAGTGCGAGAAATCTTGAATATTTCTGATTACAAAGATGACATTTAAAGAACTTAGTAGTAAATACTTTTCTGTAATTGATGTTATGTAACTTTAATGTCCATTGTAAATATTTGTCTACAGTAGATTTACTGTGGTTTGTACATTGTACTTAATTGAGCCTAAACTGAATAATGGAATCTATAGCTTTGGAGAAATTCTTTTGAAGTGTGTAGAATGCCCTCAAAAAACATGATGGAAACTTTAAACCAACTCAGTTATAGAAGGGGAGGGCATGTTGCATTCTTGATGTGTTCGGTTTAGCCCAGCATGAACAAGCGTAAACTTAATTTAAACGTAAGAATAGTTTCACTGAAGTCAGTCTATACATTTTTTGGTAAGTAAATCCTTGGAGGCTTTGCTTTTGGGTTTTCTTGGGTTTTGTTTTTGGGTTTTTTTTTTTCTGTTTCTTTGGGTTTTGTATTGTTGTTTGGGGTTTTTTGTGTTTGTTTTTTTGTGGTGTGTTTGTTTGTTTGGTTTGGTGGTTTTTTTTTTTTTTGGTTTTTTTTTAGGAAATGGAGGTTGCCTAAGGGCAACCTGGTAGGGTAAGGTGTTTGGTGGGTTTTTGTTTTTTGAAAGCAAAACCCATAATGTCTACAAGTGTCATGGTTTAACCCCAGCCAGCAGCTAAGCGCCACGCAGCCGCTCACTGACTTAGCCCCCAGCACCCAGTGGGATGGGGGACAGAATTGGGGGGGGGGGAAGTAAAACTTGCGGGTTGAGATAAGAACAGTTTACTGGAACAGAAAGGAAGAAATAATTGGAATATACAAAACAAGTGATGCACAATGCAATTGCTCACCACCTGCTGACTGACGCCCAGTTAGTTCCTGAGCAGCGATCCGTCCCCGAGACCAACTCCCCCCAGTTTGTATACTGGGCATGACATCACATGGTATGGCATACCCCTTTGGCCAGCTGGGGTCAGCTGTCCTGGCTGTGTCCTCTCCCAGCTTCTTGTGCCCCTCCAGCCTTCTTGCTGGCTGGACATCAGAAGCTGAAAAATCCTTGACTGTTTAGCAGCAACTGAAAACATCAGTGTGTTATCAGCATTCTTCTCATACTGAATCCAAGACATAACACTATACCAGCTACTAAAAAGAAAACTAACTCTATCCCAGCTGAGACCAGGACAACAAGTAAGAGTTTTACATGAGCTAGTACAAATTAGATGCCGGTGGTCCATTGTAAACAGCTCCAGTCTCGCAAATACTGGCTTTTTTCTGTGACCTTTGTCCAATTAATATTTGAAGGATTTGGGGTTGGACTTTTAATTTTGTAATTTTTCATAATCTCTCTGGTTTTGCAGAACTGCTATTTAGCTGAAGTCAAAGCTCAAATACTGAATGTCACTTGCCTGTAAAAGTCACTTTTTACTTGTTTCATACTGTATGTTTATAGAAGTCACTGGTATCCGGGATATTACTGTGGAGAAAAAAAACCCAACAACTATGTTTATCCTGTTAATTTACCCTGGGTTTTGTCTGTCGTGTTATCACAATTCTTTTGAAAGTATAGTATGTGTAATAGTGCACTTTAGGTATTAAGATTTTAATGTTTGAGGTTTTCTTAAGAGTATTTTCCATGAATTGGGTCTTCAGAATCATTTACCACCCTTATACTCTAAAACGAGAAAAAGAACATAATGGAAATGTTTGTTCAGTATCTTTGAAGAATTTGAATGAGGTGGTAAGCCTTGTGTCTTAACCCTAGTGAGTAAAAATGTATCGACGACAGAGCAGCAACTCTGGAAGAAAAGCTTCTCTTGCTTTGAAGAAGGAATTCAGAATTTTGAGTCAATTGATGATGCAACCAATGCTGCTCTGCTGCTGTGCAACACGGGAAGACTGATGCGAATTTGTGCTCAAGCGCACTGTGCAACTGAAGGTGACTTCAAAAGAGAGTTTTCCCCAGAAGAGGCGCTTTATTATAATAAGGTAACATGATACTATTTTTAGAATGGCCCATACCTTAATATGCCTTTTACCATAGAACATTTGTAAATATCTGTAAGTCTTGATGTAATAACTTGGGATACCTCTCCTGCTTTCATATTATCTTAATCCTTGCTGTATAGGCTTCAGTATTGTTGCTGAGGTTTGCTTCCATTGCTGTGATATATGAAACGCTGTGACTTTCGGATCCTGATGTTTAACAGACTGCAATACCACACAGAAGGCAGACAGAAATGCATGGTCAGGATTAAAGTTATGACCAAAATGGGTGTAAGGAAAATACTGAAGAAGGCTCAGACAGATTATTTTGGAATGCTTCCTTGAGAATGAGTAAAGCGGTAACCATGTGTGTATATTATTTTATAATCTGTAGGCTGTTGACTACTATCTGAAGGCATTAAGATCACTGGGTAAGAGAGATGTGCATCCAGCCGTTTGGGATTCTGTGAACTGGGAGCTGTCTACTACATATTTCACTATGGCAACTCTACAGCAGGATTATGCTCCACTATCTCGAAAGGCTCAGGAACAGGTAACGAAGAGCAATTGTGTCAACATCTGGTAAAATACGCTATTGTCTTCCTGAAAAACTAAACAGTGAGCAAAATTGATATTGGAATAACTTGTAAACCTTCATTAGATTGAAGAACTTTTGTGAAGTAGTTCTTGCAAACTATAAAATGTTTAGTCGCTTGCATTTTCAAGGTTTTGCTTAGTGAAAAGATAATGCCGCAAATAGAGATTTAACCCTTACACTTGCACATAGTGGTGTTCTAGTTTCAAAGTAATCACACTACGCTTTTTTGTTTTATTTTGTAGATAGAGAAAGAAGTTAGTGAGGCCATGAAGAAGTCCCTGAAATACTGCGATGTTGATACAGTGTCTGCACGACAGCCTCTCTGCCAATACAGGGCTGCAACCATCCACCACAGGCTTGCTTCAATGTACCACAGTTGCCTGAGAAACCAGGTATTAGTACAAACTGTTTTGTTTTTCTGTATAGGTTCCACACGTAACATGTCCAATGTGTGTGGAGATTGATATTTATCCTTCTACCTGTAGTTGGGGTATATTTGTTTAAAGGATTTAACCAAAGAAATATGAGGTGGTTTATTTGCAAATCATTGTGAAATATAATGTTACTTTTAAGAGCAGTCTGTCTTTTATAGAGTGTATTGAGCTTTATGGGTCTGTATATTCTAAGTAGTTCTATTCTCTCATAACAGAAGCATTGATGATAAATATTTTCTTTGGTTTGGTTTTGCATCCCAGCCACTCTTCTGACATACAAGCAGACAGCCCTCTGCTAGAACATTAGCATATGATTTATTAACACCTTAGTGTACACTTGCATGTCACTTTCTGATTTTTTTAAAATTTTTTTTCCAAATTACTATTCAACTTAATTCAACTTGGTGTGAATTTGTTAGCATTAGCTATGAAATTACAATAGCTTCAAAGATGGCAGGCTGATGATGTCTTCTAGAAATGTGCAGACCTTTAGATGAACCATTCTGAAATGAGCTGGGGAACAATTGTTCGTACCTCATGTACCAACATATGCAGTTTTTTTTTCTAATGGTTACCTCATGGACATACAAATTCTCTGGAATTTACTATGTACCCTACTTTGAGTGTAGGTTGGTGATGAACATTTGAGGAAACAACACCGAGTACTTGCTGATCTTCATTATAGTAAGGCAGTACGACTCTTCCAACTCTTGAAGGATGCACCCTGTGAGTTTCTTCGTGTGCAGCTGGAAAGAGTGGCATTTGCAGAATTCCAGATGGCAAGTAAGTCTAGCTCTGTCTTACTACAACAGTTTTCCAAAGTACCATTATCTATTTAATTTCGTTTTTAGATAACTTTGTATATGAGAGTAGAAGTAATCTGCTTCTCAGAATAGAATTTTCTTCAAGAGAGAAGAGACATTTTTATCTTACCAGTTGTCAGTTGACTAGGACAGTACGTGCTTTTCTTATGAGAACTCTTGAAATCTTTGGATGGAAGAAAAAGTACATTCCATAACATAAGCCATTTGTGTCCTTTGTTTTTACCTTTTTTTAGGTCAGAATAGCAGTGCTGGGAAATTAAAGACTTTGTTTGGGGCCCTAGATATAATGGTGAAAGCGAAGGGTGCATTCCAGCTCATCAGAAAGGAGCTAGTGGCAGAAAGTGAGCAGGTAAAAAAAAGTCAAGTGGTCTGATTATCTGCTCCCTTGTATCTCTTGCATTCATGTAAAACTGGTCATCTGGCAATTAAGTTATTGCTTGGTTACTTTTCAGTAGAGCTAGTTGCTTAAATAGTGTGGACAGGGTTCTCTTCTAGCCTTTAAGTGGAAGTGGATAAAAAAAAATACTCTAGAACATGATCTGGAGGTGGATTAAAACATGTTTGTGTATGGATGTATACTGAGTGACTGTCTGAGTGAATGGGTTTCTGTGGAACTCTGTATTATCCCTGAAAAGTCTTCCTAAAGAACTTAAGAATGTATGTACAATATAAATGGGGATTGTCGCTACATAGTATATTTAATATTGAAATATTAAAGTGTAGAAGGTTATCTCTAGCTAGTTTTAATAGGTTCTTGATGCCTATATTACTTGCAATGTATGCTGACATGTGTTCATCCCTTGCTGACAATTTGAGCAACAGATGTCGTAGTCAAGTCCATATTTTCCTGACATTTTTATAACTAAATACTCCAATATGCAAGTACAACACAGGCAGTTGGCATAACTCATATCCACACTGTACACAAGTTAACTACTTGTTAGCTACTTGTTAACTACTTGTACTACTTTATGAAGCCTCATAAACAGGGTGTCATAGCAGTTGTGATGTTGGTACCACTCCTGTGAAGAGTAAGCTAACCTGCAAGTGTGGTTGTATGACTTAACTGCAGTGCATTTCAATGGTGGGGTTGAGTGAAATGGTTTCTGTTTTCCTCTTGTAGAAAAGCAAGGATAAAAGTAGTGCTGAGAATGTGTCACCTAATGATTCCCCTACTGGCCTTAACAAAGAAGAAGTATTGAAACTACTTAGTATTTTTGAGTCCAGAATGTCATTCCTTCTCCTCCAATCCATTAAATTGTTAACTTCAACCAAAAAAAAAATTGGGTAAGTTGAACCTAGATATGTGTGTGTAGATGTGATTCTCATCCATAAATCCATACAAACTATGTACACTTAAGCATGCTAGACAGTGTGATACTTATTCTTTTATGGAGGTGACTCTTCTGTGTGGAGAAGGAGGCAAGATACGCCTTGATTGTCTAAATTTTGCAAGTTTTCTATGTTTTTGTGTGCAATCGAGGGAATGACCAGGAAACATCTTTACTGAGTGTGTCTAGACAGCTTTTTTCTCTCCTCTTTCATGATGGGAGTCCAGGACTGAGCGAGGACAAAGAAGTCAGACTTGAATGGCTGTATTCAGATAGGAAAATAATAGTTTGTAGTTGTTGTCTGAAATGCATGGTACAGTTATGAATCACTGATGCTTTATCATGCTCTGTGATATCTAACTTACCCTTTAGAGGATATAAATCCTGTGTCCTTCACAGGTATAAATTCATACACAAAGCAGTTTAACTTGTACTGCCGTAATTTTGCTGGCATACTTCCCATTGACTGGTTTGTTTTTTTAATCAAAATGTTTGTTCAGGGAATGAGGTACATGTATATGGTGTCCTTTATCTTAATTGACATTGGTCTTCATCCGTGACAGAGCACGTCAAAGTTAGTGGGGGAGAAACTACTGTGTACTGCTGATCTTTTGATAGATCTTGATGATAAAATATATCAGTGACAGCATAGTTTAGCAAGCAAAATACTTCAGAATAAATGTAGGCACATCAGTAACGCTGTAAATAGAGAGGGATGTATATGGGGAAGATACTTGTGGGCGTTAAGGAATTTTTCTAATGCCTAATGGAGTGCAGTGAAAAACAATCTTCTGTCTTGCTGCTGCAATTGAAAACAAACGTGGCTTCTCCTTTTTGTGTTGACCTTGAAGTGTTGTTGGCATTAGGTACGGCAGTGGAATTCCTTACACCACCACTATTGCTTTTGTTGGTTAGATTTGAATGTGTGTGTTGTTGCTTTTGGGATCCAAAAAATACCTTTTATTCCCTGAGCAGCAAATGTGTGTGATTGCAGAAGTCACAGCAGCATACTACTGCTGTTTCTAATGTTCTATAAAGTTAATTTATGAAAATGTGTCATTAGTTCTAGTATATAGTTCTAGAGAATTCTTTTATTGTTGGAAGTTAATAGTTTTTCAGATTGAAGCATTGCTGATGCAAGTGGTATTTTGCTAGAAGTAAACTGTGAAATGAATTTATTCTGCACAGTAACTTGTCTGCTGATAGTAGGAAACTGATAAATAGAAAAACATGAGATGAGAAGAAAGCCTGTGTGCTTTCTTAGCAGTGGTTTAGGTGCATTGTTTGGTGCTTTCACTTTTTAAAAAAGACCTTCCACAAGGTGGCAATCTGAATATGTGAAATGCAGAGGATTAAAGTATAATTTATATGTAACCAAGCAGATGTCCCAAGTAATGGAGTAAATTGTTTTAGTTCTGTTAGGATATGGGTAAATGTTGTAAAACAAAAAACTGCTGTTTTTTTGTTTTGTGGGTTTTTTCCCCATTTACTTCCTCATTGTTGTCTCTCCCAAGTGGGATTTTGTACTGAAGATTCCATATATGGAACGCATTACAGTTTTAATTTGAATACTGTGAAATGGGAGTGTTGCTGTAACATGTTAAACTCTTTTAAACGATGGTGGATTGAGGCTAAGCTTAAAACTACCTTTTGTTCAACCTTTCTAGTACCTTGTGTACATCTTGCGTACATTTCCTCAGTTCTGCTTTGTAAAAGAAGATAACGTCTGCCTTCTGTTTTAATAATAGGCTGAAAAGGGAGGAAATTGGAGCTCATGAATGCTATTTCAGGGTCTCAGATGCACTTTGGCAGAGAACAGGAGAACATGTGGTAAAACTGATGTTTGATAGTGAAACTTGCAGACTAGCAATAAAACTGGATGAAATCAGAGTTTTACCCTCTAAAAGTTAAATACATAAGCATAACTGAACTTGGCTATGTAAATTGGAGGAAAGAAGTAATTGAAAGTAATGTTTCATTCTGGGAATTGTTGTAACTTATCCTGGAAATACTTTGCATTTCAGTGGCTTTTTATTGACTACCTGTTCTGTTTAATAAACAAACCTGTCTGATTTCTGCCAAGTGTTATGAATTTAATTTGCTTCACCATTTCTTGGTAATTCCCAAAGCATTTGCAATTAAACTGACTGCTGCTTGCACACATACATGCTTTATTTATTTATAATATCAATGGCAGCATTTTTATTTTTCTTTTTTCTGGTTTGGGTCACTTACTTATTAGTCTTGGACACTAAATGTAGCAGAGCAGGGTGGCAGAGAGGAGGGGTGACAGCGCTGAAGCAGAAGACCAGCACATGTCTGATAAGGGATTTACAATGATATTTGTCAAATGGAGAAAATTGGTGGAAGCTTAGACTGCAGACTGGTGAAAGAGAGAAGCTCTTTTGTGCAGAGGTATTGAACATGGAAAAGTCTCTATCGTAGGGAAATAGCTTAGATGTATGGAACTTGAGAGAATGAGGCCAGATCATGGCCTTCAGTCTTGAATGGGAAAATGATGTCCATAGTGGTTTAGAGGGGAGAGCTCATGGCAGGGGGGGAGCAAAGAGACCGTGTCTCCTGAGTGTTCAGGTGTCTGTTTGTGTTTGGCATGATCTGATCAGACACTAACGTAGACAAAAGTACAGAGTTTTGGCGTGGAGAGCTAGATTCGGAGGGTTTATGACATGACTTGGGATTATGAGTTAATCAAATGGACTGAAGCCGAATAAAAATCAGAACGCCTTATCCCTCCTGCAGTATAAACAGAGGCTCTGACTGCAGTGCTGTGAAATGGTAAGAGACTCAAATCAAAACACCAGCCATGTGGTTTCACAGAGATGGTCATCGATGTTGTTATGTAATAATTGTTTTGATAATTTGCAGAATAAAATATTGTGGTCAGGTTAATAGTTTGTATTGTCTGTTTTCTTTTCAGGGGCATTAATGAAGAAGAAGTTGTTCTTAAAACAAACAAGCAAGTTTACTCCCTGCTGTTGCGTGCAACTGCTAACAAAAGTATGACTCTGCTAGAACGAATAGAGGTAATCTTAAATTTACTGGAACAGCTGGCTCAAAATAACGAAGCTAGTAATGGAGGAATTCAGTGACTGAAATGCTGCAAAATAGCAGAAACAGTGCCTTGCTAAGCATGGGATCAGTGGTATTTTTTCCCATGTGATATTTGTTATTTATTGAAGGCAATTAATATCGCCTGTGTGGTTACACTGTACATCTGGGAAAGAACAGGAATTCCTTTCTGTCCTGCAAGAACTCTGTAGTGGTTCGGTTACTAGCGTTTCTTTGTTTGAAATGCCAGTTTGGGGTTCTGGATATAAGCATAACAATTTTTCACGTTGGAGAAATTCATGATTTTTCTCTTACAGATAATGGGCTTTGCAGTGATGTAAACGTTTTGCATAAAAATGTAATCTCACAGTTGCTCTGGTTTGATATTTAATGAAATATACTTCGTAAGCAAGGCTTCATTGAAACACTTTAACCAGTAACATGAACCGAAGTCCCACAAGGAAATTTCTGTTGAATATGTGGACACACTACTTCTATTACAGTTACTATCCTGCACAAAAATGTGTGCCTTTCTAGCTTTGATGCAAGACTCTTGCAAATATTAGCCATCACTGGGACTTCATTTACCCCAGAAAGTGAATGGTTTTAGCTGTGTTTGAATCGATCAAGAGTAGTATTATCTTTTTCAGACTTGAAACTGTGAATAAATGAGAGCATATTTTTAAATAAAAATTTATTTATTAAATATAAACTCATGAATTGGTCTGCCTTGTTTTTATTGTTTATGACTTATGACCCTCATCAGAGAAGCAAACTGCTCAACAGAATTAAAACTATTTGAAAGGCAGTGGGGGCTGGAAAAAATCTGTAAAATCAGGCCTAACAAATGAGTGCAGTCTTATCTCAGCATGCGAGGACTCTGTTTTTTGGAAATGTGTACTATTTAAAGTTTTCAAAAATATAACATCTGATGTCTTAATGTTTTTCTACAAATGTCGTGCATATTATATAAAACACACTGTTTATTTAAAGGTAGGAACAGTTTTTACATGTGTATACACATGCATGTGTGTTGTTTTTTTAATCTCTATACTTAGACACAAGTAATGAATTCACTGTTTCAGCTGCTTGTTTTGAGGTGATTCCTACTCTCATGGTGAGAGATACAGACCAATGCTTTTTTGCATGGGGTGTGTTTTCACCCAGAAAACCCCAGTTTGTAGACATTTCTATCCTGACAATTTAAACATGGTTTTACAAGTGCACCCTTAGATCTGTCTTCAGAAGAAATCAGATCTTTCTGATGCAACACAGAGCACAAATGCACCTGAGAGAAGCAAAAGCACCTTGTGAAAGGAGGACAGATCGTATGTATCTATCTGTTCTGTTGCTTCCAATTTGGAATGACTGACTTGAAAAAGAAAGCAGACTGGGGCCTTAGGGTTCTGTGTCTTTTCCTGCCTTCCTCCTCAGGGCTGGCTCCATGCAACACCCCTTACATCCCCTCACTTTTGGTGAGGTCAAAGCTGCAGAAAATTGATCAGTGGGTTTCTGAAGTAAGAAGGCTAAAAGCACTAAGCTTCAAATTGTTGTCATTGGGAAGGTTGGCAAGGGTGAGGGGTAGAAGAAATATGTTCATGACAAAAATCTCTTCAGAGCAGAGGAGCTGAGGGGTGGCTAAGGAAGACTGCTGAGATCAGTAACAGTGTTTTGGCTGTAGAGAAGAGAGAGATTCCTGGTTAGAGAACAGTCTACTGCTCTGACAGCTGCAGGCAGATTCCTGATGGTAAGGGGAAATTCTAGCTGAAACCCATTGATCAGATCCGATCTAGCAGGCTGTCTTAATGCAAGAGGTCAGTGCACGCAGTGCTGCAGTTTTCACTTCATTCACGAGGGACCGTCTAGAAGGTCTGTCCCAAAGAAAAGTGTCAGACTAGAGTGTAATCTCTGGTCCTACTGAAGTTTTTTTTTTTTAAGAGATTTTGCCTGCCTGAATGCATTTTACAGGCACTGCACTGATCCACGCTGAAAGGCACTGCTTTCTCCTGAGAAAATCTGAGGGAGCAGGCACACTTTAGGAAGGAAGGTGTGGTGGGTTGATCCTGGCTGGACACCAGGTGCCCACCAAAGCCGCTCTGTCACTGCCTTCCTCAGCTGGACGGGGGGAGAAAATACAACAGAGGGCCCGTGCGTCGAGATAAGGATGGGGAGAGATCAGTCACCAATTAGCATCACAGGCAAAACAGACTCCACTTGGGGAAAATTGATTTGATTGGTAATAAGTTAGAGAAGGGTAATGAGAAATAAAAACTAAATCTTAAAAAACCTTCCCCCCACTCCCTCCCTTCTTCCCAGGTACAGCTTTGCTCCTGAATTCTCTACCTACCCCCCAGCAGCACAGGGATACAGGGAATGGGGGCTGGGGTCAGTTCATCACACGTTGTCTCTGCTGCTCCTTCCTCCTCCTCAGGGGGAGGACTCCTCGCTCTTCCCCTGCTCCGGCGTGGGGTCCTCCCCGGGCTGCAGGTGGAGATCTGCTCCCCTGTGGACCTCCCTGGGCTGCAGGGGGACAGCCTGCCTCACCGTGGTCTTCCCCACGGGCTGCAGGGGAATCTCTGCTCCGGCACCTGGAGCATCTCCTCCCCTCCTTCTGCACTGATCTGGGGGTCTGCAGGGCTGGGGCTCTCACATCATCTTCTCACTCCTCTCTCCAGTTGCCCAGGTTTTTTTCCCCCTTCTTAAATCTGTTCTCCCGGAGGAGTTGCCCCCATCACTGATGGGCATGGCCTTGGCCAGCAGCAGGTCCGTTTTGGAGCCGGCTGGCATCGGCTCTGTCGGGCATGGGGGGAACTTCCAGCAGCTTCTCACAGCAGCCACCTCTGTAGCCCCCCCAGCTACCAAAATCTTGCCACGTAAACCTAATACAGGAGAATGGAAAGGGGTGAGAGTTGTAGGGGCAGTGGGTTTTTCTGCAATTTAAAAAAAAAAAAACCAAACCCAAACCAAAATGAGCGCTGTAGAAAGTAGCCAGAAGAAAAACACCATTTACACCTTCCCTTATCCTGCTGATTTCAGAAGCAGCTGCTAGCATCGATACCACTGTGTGCTTCTGCAGGCCCATGACTGTCAGCCAATTGACGAGAAAAGCCTCAGCATAAGCCCCGAGAACCAGTTAATTGTCTGTTCCTGTGGTTGTGGGGGAAGTTGTGTAACCTCTTCTTGCTTCCTTGTAACAAAATGGAAGTACTATTTTACAGTACCTCACTGAGTCGCATACATAGAATAGATCAGGTCTGTAACCTGCCAAATTACTTACTAATAAAAGTCTTAAGCCCTCCCTGGTTTAAGAATGCTGCAGCGCTTGGGTAAGACTCATCCTCTGCAGGAAAACATCTCCTGCTTCTTAATTACACAGGCAGACTCAGCATTGGAAAGGCAGCGGCTGGGAGCGCGGTCTCTTCCTTAGAGCGGCGTTTGTGTGCGGGGAGGAGGCTCGCGCAGTGCTCTAAAGCCAGGTCGGTAGCGGGTAAAATAGCCAAGGGCCCATCGTATGGACTGTCGTCTGGATCTTCCATGAGGATGAATTCCCCAGCCCCAGCCTGGGAAGAACTCGGTAGCAATGGTGATCTGGGAATGGTGGTTTCAGCTGTGGGAGGGTTCCTTGGGTAAAGCCAAGCCAGGCCTCTACATAGCTGATCTGGATGGAAAGGGATAAAAACCCATTCAGCTGCTGCAATTCTACTCCCTTTTCTCTTTTTACTGCAATACATTACTGCATACTACCATGAACCAAGGTATAGAGCTGGTAGTCTCAAACCGGTGTTTTCTCAAGCTGCTGTTTTTCATTGACAAACAGTATGTCTGAATTTCAGATTCAGAGATGGTATCGAGTCACAGCAACTGTTCGCGTGGCCTCCACATCCCACAGCAAATGCCAGCTACACCTCACTTACTTAGGTTAACCTCTCCTACTGCAGGTCAAGTCCTCTGAGTTATCTTCTGTTTGTCACAGGTCAAGAAGGAGCATGCTATCTATCTGGTGTGACAGAAGCAAGGCAACCCGATTTCCTCCTAGAGCCCTTTGCAGTCTTGGTTTTACATTGTTCTATTAAATGTGATGAGTACGTGTTACTCGGCCATGATGGCTACTGATTGTTTCTCCTGGAAAGACATGTAGAAATAGGCCTGGGCTGATGAGGGAGACGAACAAATAGATGTAACTTGTGCTAGCGAAAGAATTTGCCATATAGTGCAAGGGAGCACAAGCCTACGGTTGGCTTGTTACCGGTTCTCACCCTCTTCTCTTGACCACGTCTCCCCTTCTTCCTCTTCCCCAAGGCACTAACTCGCACAAAACTTCTCCCAGCTGCCCTCTACGGTGTCAGACACTAGAGATGTGAGTAGTACTGCAGGGGACTTGAACAGACTTCCAAATCCTCACTCTGCCGTGGATTTATTTTTGAAGGAAGAGATGAACAGTACTGCATGCTCGTTGTTATAATGAAGCTACCCAGCTGAATGTGAATGTTCAACAGCTTAACTTCACTCATCTTAAAAAAAAGAAACAAGGCGGGGGGGGCAAAGTCAACAGTTGCTGCATAACCATTCTCTTCCTTCTTTCCCTGGGGCATGTCTACACCATCCTGCAGCTACATCCAGTTACCACAGCGATTCTGGTATCCTACAGGATGTTCTTTAATGATGAAGTATTCCTCCCACTGTTCAACATTATCTTGCAGAAATTAGTATACTTCTGAGACTCTATTTCATCTCAAGAAACTGAACTGCTTTATAAAGCAAAATGGTTGTCTTATTGTGCCCCGTCTGACTGATGAATCCACATACACAATTTGAAATTACTTCAGTTTATATTAACATAATTGGGTTCTTATTCTAGGTACAGAGCATCTTACCTAATTGGAAATTCAGGTCATATACTCAGAAATAAGCTAACAGAAACTTACAGCAAATAAGGATTTCTCTGTTATTCTATGAACCTCAGCACTATACTAACAACATGAATGACTTCCATGAGGATTATAATTGAGTATATTATGATTTAAATCTTCTACGAATTTCTTAGCATTAGCACTAAATAGGATTACTTTTTCTCCTTTCACAGATAAACAATTAAAGCATAAACCACATCCAAAACAGACAACTCTAACACCATTATTAATGATGATAAGCCAGTTTATTTCTCTGTTAATAAATCATCCTTCACTAGAGAAATAGAAACCAAAACCTAATTTTTTAAGACCCTGTACTGTAAGGATATTGAGTGGCAACAGCTGACCTGCTATTAGCTCCACACAGTGCAACTTCACTTCAAGGACTGTCCTATTCCACTGAGAATCTACAATCATCACTTTAATATAAATGTTTGAAAAGCAGAACAATGAAGAAGTAAGCTTTACAGCAGAAAATACTCCACTGTAAGTATGCTCTTCTTCTACAAGTGCATGTAAAACTGACAATACAGAGAAGGGAAATCCTTACCTTGTGTGCTAGGAGATACCTGAGGTGATACATTTATTTCAGTATACTACTCTGATGCAGATTAGCTTCTCACAACTAGTTTTCAAGGAATGCCCACATAAAATATTTACACTGCACACATGAGAAAAAGGGGAATAGCTAGATGCTTTAAAATATGCTGGACAAATTCTAGATTTCTTAGACATTTAGATGCAAGCTTCTCACACAAGGCCCTTACAAGGACAGTGTTGCATAGTCCTGAAAAATACTTTCTTGCAGGACAACAGGTCTGCAAAATGGAAAAGTCTTCTACAGCACCATATTCACCGTCGAACGCATGCTGTGCTCTCATTTAGCTAAACAGCAGTTCTGTAAGTGAAGTGCTTTTTGGATCCCAGCAGCGAGGTCTTGGGGAGTTGGACTCTCTGCAGTACAGCTAACTGGGATTCCTGCTGCTTCCATGGCTTCCGCAGTTGTTGGACCGATAGCAGCAAACTGAAATGACATTATTTACAGTTATCATAGCGTAGTCAGTTACCGCATCAACTCTTACTAGTTACTTAGGTACATATCCTTCCTTCTTTGCTGACATTGTCAGTGTATCGACTTGCATGGCTGAGCTTACTAAACTGTACTAACCATTTCAGGTTGAAGATTTTCAGCATTAAAAACCGCCTATCAATCGAGCTCCTTAGAATTTACTTAGGAAAGATTATTATTTATCTTGCCATTATAAACATTTAAAGCTCTTAGTCCCACAAAACAGGAAAAGTGAGAGGAATTTTAATATGCCTCAGCCCGATTCAAGCAACAACTGTTCATACCTTCACATCACTAACAGAAAAAAAAGCCTATACCCAGTGGAGACTGGGCAAGTTAGTTGGGGAAAAAAATTCTAGGTGAAAAGAATTACTTTTTCTTTTTTTAAAAAAAAGGCTCTCAGCTATATAATAACATTTGTATTTGCTATCTATGTATGTGCTATAATCTGTTTTTTCAGAGAAATAAAACACAAACAAAAGAGAAAACAAAGGTTTGTAAAGGGTTTAACAGCCTTCCTATCTCTCATTGCCCACCCCAAACTTCCTCCCTACTGTATTTCACCCCTTTTAAAGAGAAGATACCTTGATATGGTAGATTAAATCCCCCGAAAGCTTCTGAATGTGCTGGAGGCAAAATCTGACGCCAGATGGACTGAAGAACACGATGCTTGCTGGAAATCCCTGAGTAAAAGTAACCATAGGTTGGCATATACTACTCACTATTCCAGCAGTGTATCAGTACACATTCATATAAATCCTTTCAACTGTCTCTATATGGACGTGAAGTGTTTTTATTAATGAGGAACAGCAGTTAAGCCAACAGAAAGGGTTTCCTGTGGTGCAGACAGCCTGCCATACCACAGAACGCTGAAATTCAGGTGTGACTTGAAACAAATACTTTGTCAAACAAGCACTTGCTGATAAATGTACTGAAAGTGTTCTGCAGCCATACTTATTTTCCTGTTCAGCAAGAAAACTCAGCAAGCTATTTCCCTAAATCCATTCCCATCTATCTCAGTTCTGCGCACATTCTCTGTTTCCTAGCTCATGTGGTTTACCCCAAGTTCTGCCCACCCTGAGAAGCTCTGGCAAAGATGAGGTGTTGCCTTAAAACTGCAGACCCCTGGAAGGGCTCGCTTGCTCTCAGAATAAGCCTGCCTTAAGATAGCAGCAGAAACCTTCTGTAGCCAAAAGAAAACTGCAAAATTCGGTCTGGAATGAAGGGCCCAAGCTCTTGAGCTGTGGACCCAAAGCACATGCCTCCTTTATCATGATTTTCTGTCTGACAAGAAAGATACACTAGTTCAAACTACATCTGTTGTTATTTTATAGCGCATGACTTGGAAGCTAGCCTTAGCTCATGGAGGCCAGAATGACAGTTTAACACAGTGCTGTTCATTGTCTCATCAAGTGCTAAACACTTGTCGTTTTATGTCAGCTCTCCACGCACTAAATATATAACCACGATATCATCAGTTAAGAACAACTAAAAAGCGCATGAGAAACACATTTTAGCAGCTTTACACTGAAACTAACATCTAATTGCGGCAAGCAAGGAGTTCCATAAAAAGAGTTCAGACAGTTACAAAATGCATATGCACTACTGACTCAATTTTGTAACTGCTATAAACCAAATACTGTGGGGTTCAGAACTGCCATATCCACTGGGGAACACCAGGATATACTACCGTGTATTGGTTAGACTGCCCGCACCATAACCTTTTAGGACCTCTTGAAAAAGAACTTTAGAATCAGTATGTAATTTAACAAGACATTAATGCACAGATTCTAAAAAGAGGTGCAACACGCTCCAGGAGGCCAAGTTTCTGTAAGAAGGGAGGCCTGCATTTTGAATAAAATTAATCCTAGATATCATGTAGGCTCCTACAAATGGAAAATTCAGAAAGCCAGTCTTGAAAAAATAAAAGCCATTATTAGTACCTTCAAATCTTTTATTATGCACTGATCCTTGATTAATGACATTTACTGGAGTGTTTTAAAAAGAGAACAATATTGATAATTCTAGCAAATATATCTCAATACACTGGTCAAGAGCATGCCACTTGGAATTCTAACACTTAAAATGAGAATACTACATTCATAGATTGGATAATCAGAGAAGGAACACTGAAACTATGTAGGGCAGATTACTACTGGATTCTGATTTGTAGTATACAGCAAAGATGTCCAGTGATATTTCAGTTACACTAATAAAAATTAATAATAAAGCTGTTCAATAAATATCCTCGCTAAATGTAATTTCTGACATAGTATTGCTTAAAAAGCAGTCTTGTCCAGCTCAAAGAAATAAACTGAATATGTAATTATTTATGCAGTAATTCTGAAACATACATGTATTTTGAAAGTTAGACAGAATGTGAAAAGTTTTGTTTTTCTTCTTTCTTGTGTCTTTTGGGCTCGTTTACAATTTTTATAAGAAATAACTGAGGGACTTGCGCTTTCTGTCTGAAACTTTTGCTAAAAGATTTTCTTGGTAGTCAACACGGAAACAAAACAAGAAGCCCATGCAGGATATTCCTGTATCACCACAATTACCATTTACAGACAGCTGAATAAAAAGGAGTACATTCTGCTAGGTATTATCATATACCTCAGAAAAACCTCAGATTACATCAGCATCCAATACCTGTTGTGAGAAGTAACTGCTCAAAGATTCTTGCAGGTCAGCGTGTTGGGTTGTTTGATAAACAGTAAGGCTTTCCAGAGGTATACCTGGAATCAGGATATACATTCATAATTAAACAGGGTTTCATTAAATTTCTATTATTTCAAAAAACCACTCTCAACATGCTAACTGCACTTAAGTGTACTATTTTAGGCTAAAAAGATTAAAAAGATAGAGAAAAGGTACTTCTAGAGTTTCGAGATGTACTAAAGCATCTGTAATCAGAGGACCTCGAAGCACTCTGGCAAACTGGCAAGCCTTGCAGCGTTTCTGGGAGTTATCTCCCATCGCACAGAAGAGAACGTGGGTGAAGAACAAGGCAAATAACCTTGCTCACGTCATGCTACAGCTCAGTCCCAGCGCTGTGGGCAGCAATCCAACCTCGCGGTTTTTACTCCCATCCTCTAACTTCTAGCCAACTTAATAGCAAATTCAATTTTTAGTTATTCAAATTTGGTTCACAAGCTCTAGATACAACTTTTCTCATAACTGACTAATTAAAATGAGGCTCCAAGGGAAGTTCAACCTTTTTCTCTAAGTACTGTAGGAAGTACTTCTCTTTTCAGGGCTCCACAAGGAAAAAGAAGAGCTGAGGAATTAGGTTTCTCTCCTGTAAATACACAAGCAAGAACTTTAATTACTTATGTTTTTAATAAAGAGTAAACATGATACATTTAATACATTTTAAAGGTATCAGATGTTGAACACCGCAGTAAATGCTGCATGCTTCATCACAGACACAGCCATAAGATAACTGAGAACATTTGCAGTGCAACTGCATCCACAATTCAGAGGACAGAGGCTACTTAGCATGTAAATTAAAAAATATTCCATAACTATAATATGAATACATTGGCTAAAAAGATTGCACAAAAGATAAACCGCGTTTCTATTCTCCTTGCCATTCTACAAAGCAAGTACTGTGCAAGTTATCTCCTCCTCCTCCTCCTCAGAAACACAATCTTCCTCAATTTTATATTTAAAATCTTAGTCCCACTCAATACATGACAGCTTGCTCTATACAAAAGAATGTTCAGGCAGACAAAGAAGAGGACAGAAATACTGTGCTGAAAAGTTTCAATCTATCTGAAACTAGCCAATAGCACTGTCTGTATGAGATTCTCAATAATTTGCTGAGTTTAGGGCTTAAACTAATTGTTTTGGCAAGTTTTTCACTGCTAGATTTTATCTAATAAAAGTGAATATTAACACTTTGCAAAAGATAAAGAGCATTTTAATCAAGGAAGAATTTGATTTTTGGATAGGAATTTAACAGCAGGCTTTTTTTGCACAGAGTTTGCCTTTCCTATAAATAACAAATAGAGAGAAGAAAATTTCAAGATTAAATTCTATGCAGCTGCATTCATCTTTCAAAATAAATGAGAGTTCCTCAACACATTTTTTTATTACTAATTCAGATACGTTAATACAAATGTTTAAGAGACGACTACTAGAAAAAGAAATGCTTTTTTTTTTTTAAAGTGCTGGAAGTAGATTCTTGGTTTATAACAGTAGGCATCAGAGATGCCTCGGGAGGCGGGGGGAAGGACAGCATAGTAAAAATCAAACAGAAAGACCCTAGCAGGAGTCAACACAGATATATCTGACTGTCCTAAATGCACACTGAGGTTTTATTAGACGCCACAGAAATGCTTGTAATAAATTACAGGAAGGAAGAATGAACTTGGGACAGAATGTAAAAGAGATTGTAAAATAATAAGATAAAACCTAAATATTTCAGCATTAATCCTCCTGCAACTCATGTCAGTTAATTGAAATGTCAGTATGGTATCTGTAAAGAAACACTAATCCTTTTTGACTTGTGTTTACAAAGCACAGAAAAATTCCTTAGTAGGCCTGAACAATACAACAAGCATTGGCCCTCATGGTATCCCCTACTTCTGTAACCAATGCAAATGTTACACTGTAATAAAACTGAAGAAATATTTGCCTTGAAAAGAGAGCAAAGCTAACTAGCTAGTTAAGGAGTAAATTCCTTTATCTTCCCAATCACTTAAGCTGAAGTGGGTACCACAACACAAAAGGTGAATACCAGAAGAAATTTCATTGCTTCAGATTTTATTTTTATTCTGACAATAAATTCTAATGATATAACAAATTTAGAGCTATTCTTTTCATTTACTTATCATTTTATGCATAAACAAAATTAAATACATACATAATAGGGAACATGATGTAATTTAATCTGTACTTCAGAGGTTGTTATAAACCACTTGATAAATTGAGAGTGCATAAGTATGCAAAATCCAATAAATCATTGAGTATGATTATATGTATCAACAACAGGCAGTCTCCAATGATTGAAATTCACTGTTCGGTTATCGAAACCGAAGGGTATTCAAAGGCAGTCATTTTTGCAAGGATAATGGAAATGTTGCAACATTGTGTTAACTTAAATAGCCTGCTGGTGTTCCGGTATGAAACTGCCCTCAGGATACTCTATATAAAAGGCTGTAAACACACAGTTCTCTCTTTCTGTGGTGGCTACCAGAAGGTGCTGCTGGCTCTGGAATTTCTCTGCTCTCACCAGAAAGTGCTGTTCCCTGTCCGGCTCCCTCTGTGACTGCCAGCTCCTACCTCGGCAGGAGGGTGCAGGCAAAGCAGGGAAATAGCCACAGGATCAGACATGGTCAGAAGTAACAGGGTCTGTGAACCAAGCAGCTCCCAAGGGAGGAGAAAGAACCGGGATGATCCTCGACTGGACTGAGAAAATAACCAAGAGGATGTTATGATGCAGTAGGTGTGCCAGTCACAGGTGCACCAATGAGGAATTTTTCCACTGCTGGTACTACATGCACTGTTTTCTTTAGACCTGATCCTAGGTTTTTTTCACAATCATGCAACAAAAGAGACAGGTATTTTTCTCATCTTCCTTCTCAAAAAACCCCTCCATCTGCAAACTGGCAAACATTAATTCATTACCAGAAGTAAATTTCCTAGCACTAAAAAATCAGCTAAAACCAGTCTCTGTTTTAAAATACCTTTTGAAGAGTAGATGTGGGTTATTCTTCACTTATGGCATTTTTGTGTTGAAAATTTTGTTTTTAATTTTCAGAATTTATTACTTAATCTTGTGTTGGCAACTCTAATTTTTATCATGAAATATTCCATATAGTTAAAATATTTTATTTGCCAATGAATAACAGAGCACTCTGCCCGTAAAAAACAATACTTGCCAGCTCAAATCAATTTTTCTTTTACCTATAAATCTCTGCTACTATGCAGACTTTGCTAATCAACACTCTCTTTCACATCTAACATGCCTAACAGCCAAATATAACGTGTCGGGGTTCTTGACATCATTTCCACTACTGAAGCACCTAGCACCTTATTCAGCAAGTTCATAAAGCGTGGTCAGCAGTAGGGCTTTTAAACCAGCAGATACAATAATTCATCCAACATCTAGAATAATTGCACTGTCATTTGTTTCTCTGACTAGGGTTAGCCAAAGGCAGACTATTTACCTTGACTGACTGAATAACATGGCTTTTCAAAGCATTGGTCATTCTCTGTCCCATTAGTGGACACTGCATGAGCCTCTAGATGAAGGTTTCTGTTCCCCCTTTTAAATTTGGGGCAGACAGTCCTTCAGCGAAGGACATACCTTGGTATCAGACTGAAAGCTACCCTCCAATTTCACTGTGAGGCTCCACTACACAGCTCCCTGCTTTCTTACATGAGCGGGGATGCACCCCAGGTCGTGTAAAAGTACAGAGAAGAATCTGCCAGCTAACAGGTTGCTGCTGAGATACTGAACCTTAGGTGCGATTTTCACCTGGTACAGAGGTTATTTTAACAACGAGTTTCAGAGTGCTTGGGGACTAATTTTGCTGACTTCTTTTGATAACTGTTCCTCCCAGCCGATGCTCAAGACGGACACTTCGAAGGCAGCATGCACCTCAGTCGTGGATCCCCTGGAACACCACCACGTGTGGCAGAAGCTCCGAGGTCAAACTCATTACACTGGCAGCTCCCACTGATGACGTTCTTCACCCAGCTCCTATATCCCAGACTGTACAAAAACACAGCCTCTTTTTTCACAGCTTGTACTGACCCAACCACTCAAAAAATAATGAGCCCCTAAGCCTAAAAATGTTTCTTATTACTACTGGAAATTTTAACAAACTACAGTAAAAAAACCCCAAGGCAGTAGACTAACTAAACTTTTAAAAATTACCCAACAATCTGATAATACATTTAGAAGCAGCAAACAGATCGGCATATCCAGCTTTAACCATAACAAAATGGTTAAACAAAACAAACTATCATTTTAACTAACCCTTTTTGCAACTTCTTCAAAACCACTCTCCTTTGGTGCTGAAAAATAGATTCCTCTGAAACCACATGTTCATTCTGAGGAAAGGAGTTCCCCTTATCTACCTGGAACTATGGCATGGTGAAAAATCCCCAGCATCAACTGGTTTGAAGCAAGAGAAGTCAGGTCACCCAAAGTTCACAGAGAAGCAGCACACCTACAGTCACAATCATTTAAATCTTAGGATTAAGCAGCAATTTCCAATCATTACAGCTCTGATCTTTTAGTAAAAACATACTTTGTCTACTGGGTCATATAGTATTATTAATCAATTACAGAGTCTGAGATTTCATGTAAATTAGTATTTTGCATAGATAGTTCAAAGTATTTTTTATCATCTTTTAAAGATATCACCTGCATTACCAGAAGTTGATTCATGGGTTCTGCATAGAAGAGATACATGCAGTAAGTACTTCTCCGCTTCAGTGTACACTTGATTTATAGGAAGTTCCAAAACAACGGAAGGTACATTAGCTTAATTGAAGTAGAAGATTTTAGATACTTACTTGAGCAAATATATTCAGCTAATTTTTCAGCATTTCCAGACTTTTCTCCTTGTGGAGTAAGACCAATTTCTTCCACTATAACCAAAAGCAGCAAAGAAAAACATTTAAATCAATGAGAACAATTCAGATTTACTATCACAGAAACATGGGTTGAAAAGGGAGACACAACTTGATCCACACTCACAAATACTTCTTTGAAAAGCAAAAAATCAGAGCCTTTGAAGTAGTAACATGCTATGAAAGATTTGATTTTGGTTCTAGAAAGACAAAGTACGAAAGAAGAATTCTGGGGATAGCTAAGCTGTTTTGGAGAGTTTCTAAACTCTCCTACCTGAAGCGGTGAAACAGAAAGCACTGTCTCACTGCGCTGAATGGGCTGCAATTCCTGGCATGGTACGGTTGCAGGTAGCTTCCCAACAAGCGTATCGCTCTTCTTTGTAGTGAAAGCTGAAATATTATCAGAAAATCTGAGTATAACACTGGTCTTTCTTAAGCCAGTAAGTAGGATTAAGATGAATTCCTGATAAATTAACTAGTTTGGGACTTGATTGATTCAAGATGCTTGTTAGGTGTTACCAATTGGTGACTCAGTGTTGTTACCAATGTGCCTGAAAAAATATGCTTTTTACAGAGGTAGCCAGTACTTATCTGAACTATTTTTGTACTAGAAGCAGAAAAACATCAAGACCCTTAAAACTCTCAAATGCTAGTCTTTTCATAATATTTCCTGTGTGGTTCAGTGGAAGCTAAAGCTACAATGCATTCTTACAATAAGAAAGGCTTTCATAAACTAAAATCTATGTTGCATTTTTTTTATGTACATAAAATATGTATTGCATCAAATTAAAACCAGTGTCAAGCCGAATAAAGCAGCTGACCCACTGAAGTCAATGGGAAGTATACTGCTGACTTCTATTTGGCAAATGCCTCACAGGAACACTGAAGGAATGAAGGGCCAGTGCATCACACTTTGTACAGTCTCAGACAACCATCACCTTCATCCAATTTAATTTCCAAAGTGAACGAAAAAAACCCACATGCAAATTAAGAACAAAGGGTTTTTTCTTCTTTTTTTGACCAAACTTTTAAAGTAGTTACCATCACAATACAAAAGTAATGAAAAAACAGAAGCTAGAACCTTAGCTGAACTAAGCACATATAGTTCTAATGTGTATACAATTACCTGTTTTCAAAATTATCCATTTATAAAACTTCCCTATATTTTCTTCTAAGCACCCTTGAATAGCAGCCAATATTCCAAAAAATGTACTTTACAAGACAGATTTATCTAAGATTTCTTTTTTTAAACCCCAGCTTACCTAGAGAAGCTGTAGCTTTTCCTACCACGTATGCTGGTTTGGTATTCCATCTTTGTTTAAGAGATTTTGACCAGGCTGAAAAACATTAAATTAAATTTAAGCAAGTGGCAACAAAATACAAATGCTAAATGAGTATTTGGACTTCTGTTTAATCTACAAATACAGCAAAATAATAATAATAACAACTAATACTCCACTACATATTTCAGCAAATCTGGACGTACAAAATGAATTTTTAATGTATTTTTTCATTGTGTAAACAGCAGTCTACAACATGTTTTAAAAGCTTAATTTGAATAAACAGTTCTTAGCCGCTTTTGCTAAGCAGCATTTTTAATGCATGCTTGCCCTATGCCAGATCACACGCAACTTGCAATGTTAATTTATATTTTGGCATTAAGAATTTTAAAAAGCATCAAAACTCATAGGAAAAAACAGCACATAGTACAAAGGGAGATTTAGACATACAAATTGGTGGTTTAAAGCTGAAGGCTTAGGCAAAAACCCCACATATAATCTTATATGACAACAAATAAAAGGGTAAAAATCTATATTCATGCACTACAGTACTCTATAACACACCTCTTTCTTATACAAGAAAAATATAGAAACTGATTCTATTTTAAAAATACACCAAAAATAAGTTATCAGCTCAGAAATAAAATCTACCAGAGACCAAAATAAAATTACTAGGAAGTGGTTTTCCTCCTTCAGACTGTATCTTATAGGTTACACTTCTTGGATCCAGCTACCTGATCCCTATGCCTGAAATCCTAACGGGTCAAAAATAGATACACTAAGTCTTTTACTATCTTGTCTTAAAACAGTACAGCATAGGACATTGAGTTCCTTTCTAGTATTCTTGGGGGAAAAAAAATTAGAAATAGAAACTACAACAGTAATAAAATCATAGGAAACTATTCTAAAGAAGAAAAAGGATTTATTACCTTTGAAAGGAACCCAAATAGGAACTAAAGACTCCCCAAATTACTAATCAGAACTACAGACGAACTCTAGGTAAGATACTACATTTGACCAAAAATCCTAAAATATAGCCCTCTGCTGTTGAAAATGCTAAAATGAGCTGACAGTGTATTTACTCAAGAGTGTAACCTTACTCACTGTACATTGATTAGTATGACTACAGCCAAAATATGGAGCAGATAAAGTAATGATACAATTTAAGTGCACACATAAATCCAAAGCCAGTAGTTAACACTTAGCATAGGAATTCAGAAGAGTTTACAAGGATTCGATAGATCATTGGTATGGTAATTTCTATTTGGCATTCTGCAGGATTCTTACAACTAATCTGTTGGCTTTTATGTATCACCATGTCTTCAGTGCTTTTTAGCTAATGCTAAATTCACTTGAAAAATTTTATATTCAAGACAGAGAAATCTGTTTTTCTGTAAGACTCCATATGAAGTCTACACAGAAATAGCAGCGGCCAGTTTCTACAAAATGCTCCTCTCTTTAAGGGAGGAAAGTGGTTAGTAAGCAAAACTAGGCACTGCAGCAAAATACTCCTCGCGCATGAGTTTCTGTTTACAACTCTTTTTAGCAAAGATAACCACAACTGAAAGAGCTCACACTAATTAGTAATCTGCACCAAAAGCGCTCTCATTTCTAACAACAGCATAAGTGCAGAAAACCCAGCCCTCAACCCCTTAAAAGCTCAATTTCATGAAGCCTTTATGATGCCAAAAGAACTACGATATACAGCTTTTTAAAAAAGGCATACTCCAAACACCTACTCGTGGGTGAAATAAAATTACAGACTCCATAAAATACTGAAACAGAAAGACTAAGGAATATAAATATGCACTTACCTTCATTTTTACTATTCTCTTTTAAACATAGCTTGATGGCTTCTAATGCTCTTGGACTGGTAAAAACTAGGCCTCCGTAACATTCTGGATGAGAGAGCTACTTACAAACAGTAAATTTAAGAAGTAAATTTAAAAAATTAATAGATAAATTTAAAAATTAAGTTGGTCAATTCTTTATAAACTTGTGAAGAAAAAACCAGCTTCAATAAGTGTCTGAAACTGAAAAGGGCAAATATTTCATTACTATCAGTAGCCAGAGTATTTATAACAGAAATCTATAACAAAGCTTAAATTCAGAACAAAACTTGCACAGATTATATTAATTCTGAGAATTTGTAGGAATGGACAAGGATTCCTGTCACTGAAATGAGCTGGAAGGATAGGCGAATGACATACGAGGTACTTAAAAATTCATACAACAGAAATGAACTGTTATTCCAAGCAGTAACACAGAGGGTACTACCCAGACAGCTGCTTGCCCCCTGCCCCCTCAAAGAACAGTTAAGATTGCTAAGGGGCTCTCAAAGATCAGTACAAAAAAAGGAAAAATGTTCTTGGATCACTTGTAGATGAAGATCATGATACATTCAAGCACCTAACAAAGTTCAGTGCTGTTGGAGATTGTCAGTAAAGGGAACCTTCCTTAGAAAACCTTTTCAACATTTTAAAATGAAACATATACATTGAAGAAAGAGTAGAAAGAAAACACTGATTATGCAATTTTATGCCATGTAACTAGGAGATGCAGTACACTATTTCAGTACAACACAAGGGTAAACCTCAGGTAACCTTTAGCTGTCACTACAGTCTTCTCATTTTTTGTTGTGACTAAATGCCCCAACCTATGACTACCTGTGCTCCATCACCCTAAACATGATTTCTATCTGACCAACTTAATTCTTCAACAAGTATGGGTAACATACTTGATGTTGGATACAATACTGTATTGTGTACAACTGTGTTTGTAGAAACACAAAAAAAGGTACCACAGAGGGCATTATTAAGTCAAGATAAGACATGGCATCTTAGGAACCATGGCCTAAATTTTGTTGAAAATAAGACAACTGAAATAATTTAAAACCTACCTTTTCAAATAAGCTTTCAAGAGATACGAATTCAAATGACAAAACTGGAATCAAAGTTGCTTCAAATCCATATAATCCTAATTCCTACCAAAAAAAGGTTTACAGCTCTTGAAATAGATTTCAAACAGCAGTTTTTTCTTTTTCAAAGAATTAACTAAGCACAAATATTTCTTTTTACTAAAGTAAAATACAAAGGCATCTTAATTCTTTTTACTAGTGAATCTGGTTTTGTTAGTTATTTAGTATTACAACATAATACTAAACAAACAACTGTGAAACTGAGGCCTCCTATATAGCTACTGAATAGTTACAGTATACACCAGCACATAACTCTGAAGTACCTAAGTGACAATCGATCACCTAGTCCTGCAAATATTCTTGTACATCTCTGTAATTCTTTAAAGTCAATAGAACTGCTCTTACAAGTAAGACCTACTCACATGACTAAAGGCAACAGCAGAAAGGACCACAACCTCTTCTTCACATTACATTCCCAGTAAGACTACTAACATTTTTTGTAATCTTAATTCTATCCATATGAACGTAATCAATATTAATTAAAATGAAATTGTTTTAATATCAGTACTTTGCTAAGAGCTTTAACGGTGAATTCAGTATGAATGCCCCACAACTAAAATAATTTTTTCAGTAACAACAAATTTTCTAGCATACTTTTTTTCTTAGCATAATTTCAGACATGCATTTGTAATTTTGTTTAAGCACTTTTTTCACTTGAAACAATCAAATTAATCTCTCTTGCTGAATGACACAATTGTTTACTTTTTAAAAAATTTACTCACTTTAATATACGGATCTGGTCCTGAATCTTTGTCTTTGGGATCCTTCAGCAACAGAACCTTCATTGTTTACCAAATAACTGCAAAAGAACTCTGAAATATAATAACAGAATTTATCTAAATTAGATCTAGACGTCTTTCTACTCAACAGCGACTTTAATAGCTCAGCTTCAAAGAAACTGGGTTGCTAACAGTTGCACTGCTCTCTATACAATGAGTAAGCAGTTAACGTACATTCTCTGGGCATGAACATCCACCCTGATAAGACCAACAAATAACATGCTGTCTTTAGATAATACTGCTTAAGGGAGAAGCTGTAATGAAAGTCATCAAGGAGAGTACATTTTAAAGGAGAATGTTTTGTAAAAGAAGTAACAACCCCTACAATGCAGTCATGTTCAGCAACGTAAGAAGCTCCTATCTATAAAAACTTATTCTATTCTATTCATTTCCATGCTAGTTTCCACCTTATGCTCATCATAATGAGTATGCAAGGGCTTATGTATCAAGTGATTTAATTTGATGCATTTGGGGTCTCACCCTTTTCATGGGGGAAAACGTGCAAGGCAGCGTTTCAATTTTTTTTAAAAAAATACAAACATATGTGTGCGTGTATATACACACATTTATACATCTGAATATAATATATATGATATTCATATGCCTTCTTTGATATATCTATAGTAAACAAGGCAAGACTGAAAAAATATATTCTGTCATTAAAATAGAAGATGATAGTTGTCAGTTCCTTAAAAGTTGACTTTGGTGCTGAATTCAAAGTCTGCTACAACACGTAAGCAAATATAGCAAGCATCAAAGTAAACAAATGTGATAATACAAACAAACAAAAATCCATTCTCTAACTGCACATTTACCTTAACTATATATGTGTTACTTTCCTGATACATTACATACTAGCAAATTCACTTTAACATTAATAATTATGAATATTCAAAAGTACAGAATATTTCAAATTTGATTCATTTGCATGACATGCATTCAAATCCTCAAAACTTCATCAAAGACAAAACGTCTTAACCGTTAGACACTGAAGTCCTCGTTTCCACAAGTCTTCTAGCGCTCAGTATTGGCACAATGGGAACTAGTAGGGCTTTGCAGTTCTGAAATACCAAGGCCAGTGAAGTCAAAGGGAGCGACTAAAAACACACACAGAAGAAGAAACAAGGACTTTGTCGAGGGCCATATTCTCAAAAAGTCTAATTCTCGCCAATTTCAAACTAGAGCAAACGCTGAAGTAGACCCCAAAGTAGATCTCATCCATGGCTTTCAAGAGTTGGACACCCAAATACTTGAGTATTCAGTTGCTAGTAGCTTGAAGAAGGCAGGGCTAAGTGACTTTTCTCAGTTACTTTAACATTGTAACAGTCTTCACTTTAAAAATCCAGCATTCTTGTAAAAACATTCTTTGCCCGTAGTTCTTTGTAGTATAGATTGTTGTTCTGATACTGATGTTACTAACAATCTTTCCTGTAACTCCACCTTCAGTGCTTATGCTCTAAGTATGATAAACTTACATTTCTATTAGTACTCTTAAAGTCTAACAGCACCAATAAAAATGTTAACTCTAACTTACCACACCTTCCTATTTCCAAAATACACAAGATTTAATAACATTAGGAAGTCAACAAAACATAAATGTAAGGAAAAAATAAAAATCCTTCCAAACTGTATAATACAAGATAACAATACTTTCTGGAAAGAGCAATTTCCAAAAATATTGTAATAAAGCCCCCAGATGACATGAGAGAGTTAATTCAGGTACACCTGGGGAAAGCCGATTTCTAATTAATTACTTCAGGTAGTTAGAACAAATTAACTTCCTATCCTATGCCTTATTACTGTGTCAAGTAATGAATAACAATAAGAAATGGGTAAACACCCATGCTTAACAAGGTGACTTACAATAATCAAATTATTCTGTTTAGATCCTGCATACAAAATATATACTGAAACCAAACAATAATTACAAAGTCATAAAATATCATGAACTACTGCCAGATGCAATTACCTAGCTGTCTCCTCTACAAAGAAATCATACAAGCTGTATTTTGGACTCAGCCATCTGGCTCACTTGTATAAAGAGCAAGACTGCACAGCTCTGGCGCTCCTAGAAGCCACTGGCTTATTTTCAATTCTGCCAGAAGGCAGCTCGTTTATCGACCCCAAAAAGGGGCTGCAACTGTCCAACAGAAGACAAATTTGACCTAGAGAATCTGTAAGTTTGTGCATTCATGAAAAACACGTATTTTGATCTGCAACTACCTTCTGACTGCATTTGGTTTTACTGCTGAAAAAATTAGTCTCCTTTTCCACAGCCATAAACTTCTCAGACCGTTCTGTTCTTTTTGCCTCCGCAGTTCAGACAGGTCCCCACGCATTTGGTGACAGGCGTGGCCAAAGGAAAACTGGTGGAATATACCCGTTTCCAAAGGCCTGGCCATCACACCCAACGCTTTCTTAGCAAGCGTGCCCCACCACCACTGACACATCGCTGTTAATCGGGGCAAAAGGCCATCTGAACGGGCAGGCAGAAAAGAAGGCCGACAAGATCCCGAGGAGGAACAAGGACACATGAGCACATTTTCAAACCAAAAATATGCCAATATACATTCAAAGGGTGAACAAGTTAAAACTTCATGATGGATTCTTTTTTGGGGGAAAAAAAAGTACAGAGAAGTTTTTGTGACTTGCAATGATGCATGGGTCCCACTGCACTGGGAATGGTAAGAGAAATACAGTATATTTATTGGTTTACTTGTGTCCTTGAGATGTTACCAAGGAGTGCCCTACAAATGACTGAAATACAATTTTCCAAACAGCTAGCTTTCTGCTGAATACACTTAGAGTCAAGAACCCTGACAAACATTCCTCTTGAACAAAAGACCATTAAGAGAAAGCACATAAAGAAGACGTGCAGCATCTTTGGTAATTTTTTATGTATTCTGAAGGAAATACTTACAATACAAAGATATACTTTAGGTATCTTATATATTTTGTTTAGAAATTATATCTTATATAGTATATATTTAATCAGAGGTATGCACAAACTTCTGAACAACCATTAAAAGTTTCTATTTAGAACAAAGAATGGACTTAGCAGAGTCCAGCAGTGCTCAATCTGTATCTGGAAAATAGAATGTGTATGAATAACCTTAATAAGTTTTACACTGCCAAGTCTTTGTTTATTGGATGATGCTCACTGCCCACTTTTGGCTCACTAAACAAGCACTTTGTTTGCCTGAGCACCAATAACAACCCTGCAAAGATTGTTCTTCAAATGTTAAAAAAATACCATTTAAAACCCATTATGCTTGAAGACAGCTAATAAGAGATAAAAGATTTTTTGTCTTGAGCACACAGACACAAAGATGAAGAAAAACTTGTATTAGTCAATCTGAGGTTTGGGAACCATCCAGTTAGCTACCGATAACAAACTACAGGAGTGACTGGAGTGTCTGAGGCATTACATCACGACTGAAGGCTAAAACCAGTTTGGTGCTATTTCTCTGAGTTCACATTACTTAAGTCCACCTTACTTAATCTAGAGGAAGGGTAATTTTAGGTCACGTTGCATATTCAGAACATTATGCTTACAGACATAATTGAAATGTTTTCCATTCACAGCATCACACAGTAAAATTCAACATCCCTGTGCCTTCAATTAAAACATAAAGCTAATTACAATGTGTCCCCCTGATATTACTGCAGTAAAAATGAGCAATACTCTTTCATATTAAAAAAACCTTTGCAGATTTTTTATATACAACATTGTACAGAAAGAACATGCCTGTGGGTCACTCAACTTTGATTTCAAAAGCTGTCCCCAAACTAACTGCCAACTATCTCTAACAGAGGACAGCCTGTAAAAAGAAATAAATGGGTCCTTTTGTTTCTTGCTGCTACCTGACACCAAGAGCTGCAAAATATATTAAACTTTTCTAACACTATTCTGATTAGAAGCAACTCTATGGGTCACACAATAAGGTTTGATTGCCAAGTGCAAAGGGAATTGTCTGTTCCATCATAAACATAAATGGAAATGAATTAAGAGACACTATTGAGATATGATTTTTAAAAAACCTCTAAAAATCCCTGGGCTAGGATTTTTGATGCTATGCATTTCTTACCAATATTCTTTGATTTGGTGGGTTTAATAACCAGAGAAGAAAAAAAAGCCTACCTGTAAGGCTGCCATGAAGTATGGTTCAGAAATCTACCAAATTCACATATAATGTAATACCTGTATCATCAAGTAACAACAACAACCACCAAAAGATTTCACAACAATTCCTACTGTTTGGGTGTCTATGTTGCAAAACTCAACAACGTAACTGGTTCTTTAATGTGGCAATCCAGAGGAGCAGCAAAGGACTCAGATCCTTCTACTACGTCATGGACTTTTACCAAAAGCAATGTTAGTAATTAGTGTCATTCTTGACTGATATAGTTTCAAAAATAAAATGGAAAACTGTATATAGATATACATTGCATCCCCACAGAGGCAGTTTTAGTGCAGCAGTAAAGGGCTTTGCCAATATATCTTTCTCCACACTTAATTCTTTCCCTGTCTATCAGTATTTGTATTTTGGCAATGACCTAAGTGCTCCCAGAGCATACACAGCTCTCAAAAAATAATTAAAAAAATAAACACACACATTTGATACTTTAAAGAGACACGTAAATTCCATTTGGATTATATTTATAAAGCCAAAATTACATCCCAGGCCCTACATCCCAATGCCTTGCATTTCTTCTGGCTGGCAGTAGCAAATGCCCAATCCTCTTCCTCAAATGACCTCATTAACACCTACCTTTCTTAACTAGACATGAAGACTTAAATGGAACATGGTCTGCATGAATGAGCTCAAACATTAATGGCCACTTCTATGCTTTTAGTGCTTAGCATTTTTCAACACATTTTCCTGATGAGTATTTTTATGAAAGCCACATTTACGTTGTGTTTACTGTATTCCACCTCACTGCCTTTTCTGTTTGTTTGCCTGGAATTACATGTAACAAGTCTGGGAATTATTTTTTTAAGTAACCACTTGATTCCTTTTTTAATTCGGCTTTCGGCAGTTTGACTAATGTCATAGATGCTCAGGACAGATATTTAGGCCCCTGTACTGTACTTCAGCCTCTGTCTGGCTTTCTTTTCGTCACAACGGTGTAAAGGACAGGTTCAACAGAAACAGGCCAAGAACAGAGGTGGTGAGGGTGGAAGAAACCTGACGACATTTGTCGCAGGGGTCAATTATTTCGCTTGCCTTTAAACAGGGCAGGCAGCAACAACGATTCACACGCACCCACGCTTCCACATACCGTTTCCAGGCGTGTCTGGAGTCACGGCAGAGTCCGGGTGACTTTCCCAGAATACTCTATTTCTTTTAAAGCAGGTGACATCAGCAGCACGAAGAGAGAATCCCAAGTTTTGGGGGTTTTTTGTGGTTTTTTTTTAGGAGCGAGGAGAGGGGCGGACCAGGACGTGTCGTCGTCCCCCCCAGCTCCTCAGCCGCCCCGGCGGGGACAGACCCGGCCCCGGGACCCTCAACCCCCGTCCCTTCGCCGTTTAACACAGCTTTTCCCTGAGATTCACGGCGGGCAGGCAGGACATAACCCCAACTCCCGCCCTGAGGAGGTTTACCGCGCTGCGGTCACCACACAGCCGGAGGCCCGCACCCGCCGCTGCTCCGGCCCTAGCCGAGGACCACAGCCCTCCCGCCGGGCCCTTGCTGAGGGTGTCCGGCCCTAGCCGAGGACCACAGCCCTCCCGCCGGGCCCTTGCTGAGGGTGTCCGACCCGGCGCTCACCTAAAGCGCAGTGCCGGCAGCCGGGCCACCCGGAGCGGGCACCGCGCCTGCCCGCGGCCGCTGTCTCCGCCGCGGCCTATTCCGGCTGTGGGGAGCGCCTGCGCGCCAAGGCAGCATGGCGACGCCGGCGAAGCGGAGGGCTCGGCCTCAGCCCCAACCCGCCCAGGAGGAGCGCGGCTCGGAGCCGGAGTCGGGCGAGTCGGACTCTGAGGAGGAGGAGGAGGAGGAGGAGGAGGAGGAGGAGAGGATCGATGAGGTGAGCGGGGGGGAGCGGGGCCCCGCGCGGGGCCTGCGCCCGCCTTCCCTCCCCTCAGGCTCCCTCGGTGCCCGTGCCCGCGCCCGCCATTCCTCCCCTCAGAGCCCCTCCGTGACCCCCCCCCGGCCATCCCCTGCCCTCCTCCGGAGCCTTCCCCTCCTCTTTTGATCCACCGCCGCTAATATAAGTTTTAAAACGATAGAAACAAGCAGCCGGGCTCACGAAGCCGTGACTGGAAGCTGTTGGGAAGGCGCGGGGGGGGGTGTCCCCCTGTAAAGCCCCTTACGAGGCACCCGTGGGTCGGGGGGGCCCAGCGTGGGGCTGTGGGTTCCTGTTGCTGCGTTAAAAGTTGTGGAGGGTCTTAATTTTTTTTTTCTTGTTTTCTTTTTTTAAATGTTGGAATCCCCGAGGCCGCAGTCAGTTGTACAGACTTGGCCCTTGCGTGTAGCCTGTCTGTGTCAGGGCTTGTGTGGGACTGCAGGCAGCCACTTGAAAATAATTTTTTCAACGCAAAAGATTTGCTCTAATTTGCTTTTTGTGTAAGGGGCTGTGGGGGGGGGAGAAGAAAAAACACCAGACCTCACGGAAATCAAACAATTTCTTTTCTGAGCTTGCTTGCTCTCTCTATATCTGCACCTGGACATATGTGAAAATGCATTATTTAATTGTGAAACACAACACTGAGGGAGGAGTCCCCCTTTCTAGGAAAGGAAGAGATATGCGCTGACTTTGAACTCTTATTAAAATCCTTGGGTGATTAGGCAATCTGTCATTTTCACAGGGCTTAAAAGGGCCGAAGAACAAAAGTATCTGTGGGTTTTAACTTACATTTCAAATTAAATACTTTGCTAACTTGATTGTCTTCACTAGGATTTCACTTTGAGTTAATTATCTTCCTTTTTCTTAGATGAGACCTTAGTTACCTTATGTTAGCAAATAAAAAAAATAAACCCTACCTTTTTTATAAACCATGTCATGATAAAAAGTGTACGTTTGATTGTGTTATCAGTCATACTAACATGATGGAAAAGCGCATTTACCATGTGCTAGAAATGTGTGCCGTGTTAAATGGGTACTGACTTAGTTTGAGCTGACATGTTTGTGAAGTTCTTGACTAGCACTGCCAGTAGTTTTTGTACTCTTTGGTGTTTGTAAACTGATACAAGATGTTGCACTAGTGTTTAAACACTATGAAATTAAAGTTAATGGCAGTAATCCTTTTTTTTTTTCCCTTTTTTTTTTTTTTTTTTGTGCTCAGCATTCCTGCATAATGTAGGTAGGACAGTGTTTTTTATTGTGGTGTTTGTGGATGAAGTTTCTTAAGTCTTCAGTGACAGGGGTTTTGAGGATGGTTGCTGTATGTCCTGCGCTGGTGTGCACTACTATGTTTTATTTGCAATTGTTTGTGCACTGGCTAAAATTTGCAGTATAACACTTGTTTTAAGTTAGTAGCCCAGATTTTGAGGACGATATATCATTATTACATCTATTTCATTTTGGAAGTGTTAATATAAAGATGTGTTGACTTTCCCTCAATTCTTGTATAAGACATCAAGGTGTGCATTGCTAATATTAAAGAAATGTACTAAACACTTATAACTGTACAAACTTAGAAATTTGTAAAGTCATATACTTGAAGGACATTTGTTTCCCTGTAATTCTCAACATTTTTGTTTTTGCCATATTAGCCTTTTTCTTTACCTCTTACCACTTCACGTGGAAAAAGGAAAATGTCTTCCTTCATGCAGATGTTTTCTTCATAGAAAGAAGCATGTGTAATTCTGTCAATCTGAGAACAATAATATGATTGCCAAGTAGGGCCTGGTTGTTGAGAAGGAGCTTTGCACGCTACTATATTGTTGTACATAGAAGAGTGTTGTTGCATGTAACAGCTTGCTTTGCAGGCTCTTGCTTTGCTTTGGGTGCAAGGCGGGGGACGAGAATAAAGTACACAGTAGCAAGACAGGACACACCAAAATATATGATGAGTCTTTATTTGCCTTTTTTTTTAATAGATGAAAGATGGAGGGTTTGTAAACTCTCATACCAGGCTGTTATTTTGGGTAGTGGAAAAGCCATGAAGCAAGACCAGTGTTAGAACATCTAGTGCTCCCATGGTTTATATCAATTTTATGGCTATGATTTGCCCAGTGTTCAGAACCACTGTAAACTGTGTTTTGTTCAGAATTTACTGGCTTAATCATTCAGTGAGATCCTTGAATTTCAAAGCAGTCAAAAAGTTCCTGGATGCCAGGAGTGAATGCTGTATACACCAAAGATACAATCTGTTTTCTTACATAAGTAGCTTCTCAAGTAAATCATGTGTCCTCCGTGAGAAAGTCATTTACGTATTACTTCTATAGAGCATCCTTGCTTTACTAGCCCATAGAAGAATATCTGAGTGTGTCACCCAATCTGTATTTTTTCCCCCCTCAAAATTGGTTGTATACCTGCTTTCTACATTGTAAGGCCCTTCTCCCAGTGGACAATAAAGACCATGACCTCAATATGGGACTGGAGAGAGTTCCGAGTCTTCATTGGTGACAAAAGTAAGGCTCAGTGGCTTAGATTGTTCAGAAAGTGGAATCCAAACCAGCAGTTGCAAGGCAAAGTAAATGTGGATGATCTCAAACGGTGGTTCACAGAAGAATAGGTAGGCAAAGCAGCCTTGGCAGGCAGTACTATTAATATAGAATACCAGTAGAAATGTTTGGTAGGTGCACAGCATTTGTTCTGGAAGGAGAAGCAGAAGTTCACAATCTGTTTTGCTGTGACGAGGTCTCATCCTGTGCCTACTGAGCAGACTTCCAGAGTGGGGTTAATGATACCATTAGGATTTGAGGAGTTAGCAGAAGTATGGTTTGGGGTGTAATTATTTAAATGTCTGCAGCAATCTTCATCTTTAGCCAAGGCGTTACACTCCAGTCTTGCAGTTTTAAGAGTTTAACTGCCTGGATCAAGCCTCTCTGCAGTAAGAGTCTATGCGGCTATGGTAAACATAATTGTGTGAACCAGACTGCAGGAACAAAGCATTAAAAGTTTGTTCACAACACAGTTTTAAAAAGTTACTTTCACAGGTGCTCTCTAAAGATTACAGAAGAAGTGATAACTGTAACAATTGCTGAGATTACTGAAAGATGGAAATAAGTTCCATTTCTGATGTTGACCATTACTTGTCTTCAAGTTTCTTATAGTTTAGCTTTGTTTTGATATAGCTTCTTGCCAGGTATGTTTGATATTCTCTATTTTACTTCTTCATAGGAAGTGAATATTGAATTCGAAGCACATTCCATATCAGACAATGACTTTAATGGGATAAAGAAATTACTACAACAGGTATTTTGACTTCTTGTTAGCTTGGTTGGTATGTTCATTGATAAATAGTATCTAAAGAGTTACACAGAGTCATCAGTTCACATGATCTGTATTGATTCATAGTTTTACTGTTCTTCAGCTCAAGATGATTAAACAATTACAGCCACAAAGAACATGTGTCTTCTAAACCATGGTTTCAAGAACTTTACCCAATGAACTGTAGGGCTGTTCTTCCACAGTGTGTATAATCTTTCTATCTTCATTGTGTTAGTTGCTGCCCAGAAAACCTCATTCAATGTTGATCAGCTTCCTGGAGCTGTCTTTTGTTTTTTAAAATTACAGCCCTTAGAAAACAGACAAACATGTAATCTGTCTGTTCAACGTGGCAGCTTCCAGTCTTCTTTTGGATGTTTCTGTTGTAAACCTATGCTCAGCAAGCATTCAGATCATACCAAACTCAAAAGGATACGAGGTATGCAAAATGCCAGCTTGTGGAAGGTCAAGGAGCAAGTGCTTCAAGAAGCTGATTTTTAGTCTTTACAGTATTGTATTGAAGGAAGTTAAATAAACAAACTCACTAGATGGAAATTAAAAATGGAACAGAGTATTGCATAACAACTTAGAGAAATTACTGACTTTATTTTCTACTAAGTTGCCCATGATATATCATCAGGCCTAAAACTTCTTAATACTTGTTTCTTATTTTCCAGTTGTTTCTAAAAGCTCCTGTTAACACTGCTGAATTAACTGATATATTAATACAACAGAATCATATTGGAAGTATTATCAAGGTAAGACAGAATTTACATTTGTAAATGAAGTACAACACTTTTTATGCTGAAATGACGTCACAGACTTTCAGAAGGGGATCCTGTCTTTGTAATTTGTATGCTTTCTTGCTTTGACAATAATTCTTCTATGGGAGCTGGAATTTTCCATGCCTTCTTTCAATCAGACAAGGAATTTGATTTATTTTTTTTGGTTGATTTCTTTTTACATATGGAAAGCTGGATTTTGCTCTGAATTTTGGTGTAGTAGAGTAATAATGCTGAAAATGCTATGGAGAAGTTTG